AAACCGACTCAGGCAGACTCAAACTGACTCGACCGACTCAGAACAACTCAAACTGACTCAGACCGACTCAACCGACTCAAATCGATTCCGATCGACTCAGACAGACTCAGAACGACTCAAACTGACTCAGACTGACTCAACCGACTCAAATCGATTCCGATCGACTCAGACCGACTCAGAACGACTCAAACTAACTCAGACCGACTCAACCGTCTCAAGTCGATTCCGAGTTAACTCAATTAGTGCTATTACTTATAAAGGTATTTTTCCATAAAAGGCATCCAAAAAGTTCTTAAGGCCTGGCTACACTATGCGTTAGCTCATTCTACATGTTTTTTTTTTGCGGAATGTTGTTCTAGAAAGAAACAACATTACCTATGTTTTTGTTATATGTTTTATATATTAACTTTTATTTGGTATCAACATTTTATTAACTTTTATATAAATATTAAACAAATTATATTAACAACTTTTCTAGAAAGATATTATGCAAAACACGCAAACTCACAAAAAACGCACACAGAAAACTCATAGTGTAGCCAGGCCTTTATAGAACTGCAGATTTACAAATATGTTCCTTGAAGGCCTGGCAGATTCTGATAACTGATTTAGGTTTTAGTTCATGGTTTCCTACAAAATAAATCATGTTTGCTACACAGACTTAATTCCCCAGCAATATTGTGATATACCTAGTTATGTGCTGATGGCTCACTGAGCTGTGCTGAATGCTGAGTGGCTGACCATGCTAGCCACAGAGGTGCACAGGCTGATTGCTTGTTGATTGAGATTGCCCAGATCATCTGAACCAGGTGGCATGTCTCTGTATGGGCGTGACCCACCAGGGCAGTCCTCACAGGGCCATACAACACATAGGCACAACATGACTCAGACTACTCAATTCCGAGGGTAACTCATTTTAAGTTATCATTCTGTGCATCAAACTGTTTGTGATGGACTTTGTAAAACTCGCTGTACTGGGAGAGCCATATTTTGGACTTAATTCTGCCGCTCTGCGTCATGCGTGTAGCAGGAATTACTGAATGGTTATAGCCATGGGTACTGTTTCACGGCACTCTGTCAGCGCATTTTGCGAGCTGGCGTCATATGTTATGGTCAAGTCACTCAATGTCGGAGCCTCCGAGTTTGTTGATGTCTCCATGGAAATCGAATTTGCCATGTGTGACTGCTGGCAGTCTGCTGGCAGCGGCCGTGAAACACTGTCATGGTCCGACCGTGGGCTGGATCTACGCAACAATCTGTGCGAATCATGAATCCATGGACGTTGGACAACCAACGACCAATGGGCTCATATTGACATTTTGTGAAGTTTGCTGTGCTCCCTTTACCTTGCGTTCGACATCCTGGAAATGAGGTATAATTATCCGGGATCACTTTGGTAATAATTTGGTATTGCAGGGACCATCGATGCAATTAATCACATTTTTAGATTGCTTTTGCTTCACTAATGGCTCTTTTACTCGTTGTTATGTCCGTTGTACACGGTGTTAGCCTAAAACACCGAATGATCCCGGTGATCCCGGAAAATTATCCCTGATTATCTGGATGCCGAATGCACGCTTAATATGCTGTAACACCCGACCTACAAAATGTGAGGTGCCGACAGCTCACAGCGTCAGTCACTCAGCGTCATGCAACCTCACTTTACCAGCTCAATGTGTCGGACCTTGGACGGGGCTGTGACCCACAGTGCAGGCTCATCATCCGCCTTTCGGCGGTACCTGGTAGTTCCGGTGACGTCATCGTTCACAGTCCGCCCGTGTTCGCGGTATTACCGCCCTTACTGCTGGGAATCCGTATCGGCCGACCGACCCTGTCGCCTGCCGCGGCTGCCAGGCCGGCTGACGCACCGGTCATTCATGGACGGTAGTAGTTCTGTTGGACTGTGGACCGGCCCTGCGGGCCGGCTCCTCCCTGAACTGTGACCCGCGGGGGAGGTCGCCTGCCCCTCCCCACGCCGTCGTGGTGCTCGTCGCTGTGCGGGAGGGGCGACTCGCAGTCGGTGACGGTGGACGATAGAGGGAGGGCGGCAGGCGGCCGGCAGCACCGCGGTACCCGACACGTGCGTCCCGTCTGTGTCTAGTCTAGTCTCGTCCGCTCAGGGTCGGTCCTCTGCAGTGCTCCTCTCTCACTCATCACAGAGTGACCGGCTGGCAGTTGTGTTCAACGGACAGGAACCAAACAGGCAGGTAGAGAGCGGGATAGTGTGGACGGAAGTGGAGGCCACACGTGGCCGTCAAATATTTGTCCCTTGCATAGGTATGTAGTGTTTTGGTGAATCCTGGCGTGTTCGGGGTAGTCACCCCCTCCCGTTGTAAGAACTAGGTGAAGTGGTTCGTTTCCTTTGTCCATCTGCCGGCCCGCATCTCTCCCGTGTGCGTGTGCCAGTGACGCGGCCCTGACTGAGCAGCTAACCGACCGCCGGTTTTTCTGCTACCGGGACCCTTTGTTGGCCGTCCACCAAACGGCCTTGCGGCTGGCCGCGTTGTTTTTAGGCCGCTGGTGGTTGTGCAAGTTACCTGTTTTGCTCAGGTGCGGCTCCGTCGGAATATTTTATCATGTTGTCTGATTGATGGTGGCGTGACGACGACTGCCTGTAGTCGGATTGTCAATACCGAGGGTGGCAGTGCCGGACTACTGTACTGCCTCAGCGTGCTCCAAAGGTCTCGTATTCATCGGTAAATAACTCTTGTTGGAATGTAAAGCCGACGTGAACTAGGGGCTCGGAGTATGCCGCAATGCCAGTTATTGACCGTAAAGCTTTCTATAATAACTTGATCGGACGCCGTCAAACTGGATTTCTGGGTTGTTGTAGCCTTGACATTCTGTATATGATATTAGATTTGCTTATATAAGCGACGCCTGGCGACGCTGGAACGGCTGCCAACTGCAATAACTCTAAATTATGTAACGTTGCCAAGCAATGTCATACTTCTTCCTGCAAATTTATAGTGCCTGGGGACACTCACACTAATTGTGAGGCATACCATCCAACAGACCCCAGTGCTCAATGGACCGTGCTCCGCTAATGTGAGCCTCTCTTAGTCTAATACAGCGTTGAGAATATCATATACAATATCTTAGACGTACTTCCAGTGACCCCCGCTCCCGTGTCATCCAGTGGTCCGTCAAATCTACACCGATGAACACATGTTTGTCAAGCATTCTTTACGCCCTATAACTACTTCGTTCCGCCGGTACAATAATGCAACGATGCTGGACGCCCTCGTAACCTCGCTCTAACCTCCCCGTCTTCTCTGTCTTCCCAGGTCTAACGATGCTGGGCACCGTCGTAACCTCGCTTTAACCTCCCTGTGTACTCTCTCCCCAGGTCTAACGATGCTGGGCACCGTCGTAGCCTCGCTCGGGGTGGGCGTGGCCGCCAGCGTCATGTTCGTGTATGACGTCATAACGCTACCAATCTACACCATCCTACAGAAGCCCTGGGTCCGGATCAAAAAGGCCAAAAAGATTCGGGTGAGTACATAGGACATGACTTTAACTCTGGGTTTGTTGTCTGTTACGGTCTAGCTCAGGTAGCAGTGTTGAATGTATTGTTTAGTTGTATCGACCGGTTGTCGTGCGATGCTATCAGTTAGCGTTAATGTTTGACGGAGGGGTCGTTATAACTGCCGGGGGTGGCACGCGGTTATACAATCGATGGAGCTGGAAACAAACAGGTAAGATTGGAAGCACCTCGGTGCTGTTGCAGCGACTACGAATGCCACTATCTAAATCATCAATGAAAGCTTCAGTTAGCATTTGCGTAAGTGCTGTGCTGTAGCGGTGGAGCCAAGTTGAAAGAGGACTCCGGGACGAACCGAGCTTCACTTGCTCTCCATTAGTCAACGTCCTCACACAGCCGTGGAATCACTGGAAATCGAGTCCTCACGCAGTCCCCGTCCAGTCCTCGCCGTGTGTGGTCGGTCGGGTCGTGTCAGTCCAGCGGACCGTCCTCACATGACTGGTACGGAGGACAGGCGCCGACCCGACCTCTGCACTGGTGTCGTGTGGTCGGCCCGTCCACGGGTCGACTGTTTGTTTGACTTGTCGCCCGTGTTGTAATAATGCCAGAGACCGCACGGGTCCACTGGTGCTCTTTGGACGCAGACTGACACGGGATGTCCGATGTATCGAGACTGGGGAGAATCTACGTGCTGATACCAGGTCTTCCCGTAGAATGTCTCTGCTCACAGCTTTGCTTGTTACGGGGCACATGATCGTTTAATAACCCGCCCCTCGCCAAGATCCCTTGTTCGATCATTTCAACGCACCCCGTCATCATCAATAAACAATATCAGCCTGCTTCTTCTTCATTACCGGGGCCCCATCGGTCTGCGCCGTCGACTCCCCTCGCCCTCCGGCCGGCAGCCCTCAGGGGCGATACGCGACGGGCAGTCTGTACCGAGTCGCCCGGCCAATGTGCAAGTACCGGCGGCGTCTGCAATCGGGCAGATAATCCGCGATGGCCGTGGTACACTGTTTGCCTGGCTGTCGAGTGTAGGAGATACGGTGGCGACAACTTGGCCACAGGCTAGTTTGTCTACAGGCTAGTCTGCGCTAGTTTCCGCCAGCGATTGGAGACAACAGGGAGGGGATGATACGGTACTTGTGTTGGATAGGCCTCAGGCACAAATGAGATAATATCAGAACAAGGGACGGAACTGCATACGAGGTAATCCAAAGTCGATTTCTTGTTAGCTTGCAAAGGCTTAGAAATAGGTTGGGACGCACTGCTAGCTGTAGTTTTGCTTTTTTCGAAAGTGGAATATCACTGTATTCACCGGATGCTTTGTTGTCATTTGCATCCTTAAATGTTTCAGTTTTCCGACGTGCAGCATCTGGCGACATGTAATGTAACACACATCCGCTATAAAGAGTGGTAGAGTTGTCTCCTCAATGGATTATTCCTCCTGGCTCACTCGAACTTTTGTATTGAAAGCGCCCATCACCGGTCAGCCGCGTCAGCTAGCTCCCCAGTCCCCGCCTCTCCGTTGCATGCAAATGACCTTCACGGCTGCGTGTCGTTGCTGGGGCACCGTCCATCTGCCGGGCCGCCCATCGGTTACAGATGTTCCTCCCTGCTCTCTCTCCGGCTCCACACTCTCCCCAGCGTGCAGCCAGGTGCTGTTCCCCTCCCCTCCCCTCTCTCGGCGGGGAACAACACCTGCCCCTCCCCGCTTCGGGTCGGAGGGCGGCGACAGTCTCTCACTGCCGGGGAGTCAGAGGATCACGCCGCGCCGGCTGACGGCCCACGTGGCTCCCGCCCCTCGGCTCTGCAGACGCGGAGGAGGGAGGGAGGGGTGTAATGGGGCCCGTGGAGTGCGCGCCAAGTATGCACCAACACGGAACTGGCAGCGACACCGGCAGCACACTCACCAGGGGATATGGGGTTATGCTGAGGGGAGAGTGGCTCTTAGGGCCTGACCAAACTGTGGCGAAGTAAATAATTTGATATTAAGGACATGCGCGGCATTGTTCGCTATGTTTGGTATATCGCACGTGAATTGAGGAGTGGAATTATTTTCCGTTTCAGGCCAAGGAGGTACCGGGATCGGTATGTCGCTACAGGAACTACGACGACCCGATCGGCTTCCAGGTCACCATGAAGCGCGAAAAACTCGACACCGTCGAAAAGGTAACCGGCCTAGCGAAACTTACCTCTCAGAAGGCATGAGTTGGGAATCCAGTTGAAAGTGTGTTTAGGCGTTTAGGTTTTATGTGGTTTCGAAGTTTGGGGTAGTTTAAGTTTAAAGTTGTAATGATGACTCACACAGGGGCATTTTTCTTCACTAGTGACTCGTTCGTTTCTGAAGTTGCGGCCGCTATTGAACCTGAGAGTGCCTTCCTTCATTCTTCCGTCTTTCAGTTCCTGCGGATTTTGCGATGGAAACATCGCATGGTCCTTACAGAACCGATGAACGGTAACGTGTGAGGTTAGGTTAAGCTAGGACTGAACGTAGAGGGCCTCGTGGGTCCGTAAAAAGATACAGCTGAAAGGGACACAGCCAATTACGAGTCTAACACTATTATAGCCGTTGTTGTTGTTGTTGTGGTTTAGGGCGCTTAGCGGCGAGGCTCTTGCGTCCAACGTCTTGATTTGTGAAGTTCACATTCTTGCATTCATCTTCGTTGGGAAGATTGGGAAACTAAGCAGGGTAAACTAAGCGGTGAAAGGGATAAAGGATGGTTATCGCAGGGTAGGAATTTCAGCAGGGACAGGTGATAGGCGAGGACAGTAGACGTTTAAGTTAGTTTGGTTAATCATCAACAGTATTCTAAACTATCTACGCCTCCAGACTTCTGCAAAAAAAAACTTTGTTAGTGAAAGCATCTACATGATCAAGTGATACTTAGTAGGTATATGCTAAGTTGGGTAGCCAACCATACCGTGGCATCTAGACAACAATCGGGGGAAAACATGAGGAACAAGACATGATAAGCAACAGTGCATGGTGACAACTCGTCGATCACAACATCGTAAACAGGCGACAATCCTTAAGATATTGGAACACTGCATCGAGTAGCGCTGGCGTTTTATCACCCAACAGCGACCGAACATCCATTCTCACGTCATGTAGCAAGCAAGCTGTAGCTAGCTGTTGTCGTTCTCAACGATACTTAGGACACACTATCAAAAAATGCGTTATTATAGCCGTTAATATTATTATGCGTTAATAGTTATTACTATTATAGCCGTCCCTACTCCCTGATGCAAGATGCTGTCTGCTTCGTCTGCATGACCTCTTATTATTAGAGGCGACCATTCCAACCTGAAAATGATCCCGACTCTACCACCTGATTAACTGACATCTTCTATGTATAGCCCATGACATTGTGAAGCGTTGCTCGTTTGTAGAGATAGTGAAATTGCAACAAATTTATTTTGTATCAGCGTAATATAGGCTCGTTCTCAGTCTGCCCCTACATACTTACTCTTTACCTACCCATTAGCATTCACACCTCACAAAATGAATAATGTTACCGGTTGTATCGGATATCGGATAGTTGGTCTAATGACGTTGCTCCACTTACACAATGCGTAACACCCGATCGTATTCGGCGCAACTGATCGGTGGCCTTGTATGTCTTGATAGCTCGTACTTAATGGTGGACGGATCCCAGTTTATCTGTGGAATGTGTGTCGCTGTTACTGAAGTTGTGTAGCGCCTTCCGTGAGGATGGAGTCATCACATTTTGAGTTTCATCCCGCTCTGTTTCAAAATGACTTGGTTTTAACTTTAATACTAATTCTGTGTTCTTTTTGTGCGCATTTTTATATTTGTTCCCTTGGCATGTTACACACATCCATGATGAACAACTCTGAACACTTCGGTCTGTTATGTTCTTCATGCCCCTCGTTCTGTATTCCACGTTTCTCTTGGGAAGTCGTTTTTGTCTGGTATTGTTGGCTACGTTAATAATACCCGCGCCGTCCATGTCTGACGGTCTGACCCTGTGACCTGTGACCTCCAGATCGTCCGGTACGCCGTCAAACAGCACGGTGACAAGAAGGGCTTTGGAACGCGAGCCATCCTCTCTGAGGAGAACGAGACGCAGCCCAACGGAAAGGTGTTCAAAAAGGTACGGCATGACGCGTGGTGGGTGATTGGGGATTTGAGAGCCAGGGACGGATGAGTTGGGGTCACGGAGATCAGTAGATTTGAAGGGATTAAGTGACTTCTTCGACTAAGTATGACTTTGAATTGCTAACATGTGATGATAGATTATGTAACGGTAGGTCAGTCAATAGTCAGTTTTGATGGTATGCTATTTACAAATTATCTTGTAAATACCGGCAGGTGCTCATGCATACTTCTTACGACAAGTAAAAACCGTTGTCACCCAACCCACGCGACACATCGTTTAGTGCGAGGCTATCCGAGCGCACGCCGGGACAGCCCGGTGGCTCGTGTTTTATTGAGTACGTGTTTACGATAGGGGCGATAGCGCGGTGGGCCCGCCTGGTGCCGGGCAACACGACATTCGAGCATTACCGATAGCCGCGATGGACCGCCAACCCTGCACCCGCCAGACACCATAGCGCAGCTCATTCTATTCACGTCAGGGCTATGAACTGCGCCAGTGACACGCTATAACGGCGATTAGCACAGCCGGAGGACGGGGACGCGTGGCGGCGTCCGACCGAGAATTGGTAACTTCCTGCTGCTCAGACCGTCTATCGTTTGGGCCGGGGTTTGGGCGGGCCGAGAGAGACCACCCTCACCGACACGAATTTGGTGGTCGCGTGTCTCCGAGAAAGGATCAGTCCGCCAGCGTGGGATGTCTGTGTTCAAAGTCTGTCGGCTCAACCGCAGCGCTGGATACCTATGAGCCGGTTTATACCGATTCAGCCGAGTTTTCGGATCGGCGGGCGTGTCTTCTGTATATGTTACGCCCCTCTGTGGCCCGTGCGGGTCAGGTGGTCAAGGTCGGGGATGATTGAGAGGAGAGGTACATACGGAGATACGATACTTCTTTCGACGCCCGCTACAGGATTCCGTGTGTGAGAAATAATACATTTTTTAAAGGACATGGATTGCTTAGCGTTGGAGAATGCAGTACCGAAGGTTTGAACGAAGTCGTTAATTCTCAGTGGGTTGAGTGAGGATTTGAAGCTGTGATTACTGTGCGCCGAAAGTTTTTTTTAGTGCAATTAGATCACAGTTGTAAACTACAGGGACACGCCCCCTGAAACTCTGTTCCCGGTAGATTCAAGCCACCACAATCTCCGGAGTTTGTTTACATCCTCGAGTTTTGTGTATGCACTATGGAGTCTGGAGGCCGGTCAGCATGCTAGAAAATCCGTCGTCACGCAAGGTATATGTTTACTGATTCGCAGTTGTAACGGGCTCTGGAATTGGCCAGTGGGCGGTGGCCCCACCACTATTTGATAGCCGGGGACCCAGCTGAGGGCGGAGAGGAGAGGGGGGTGGGATGGAGGGGCGGCCTTGAACAGCCTCTCCGGAGAGGTGCTATCGAGAGCACCTCGAGCGGAAGGTCAGACCGAGACGGTGGGCCCATGTGTGACACGATAAGTACGCCCGCCCACCCGGGTGATTTTCTGTTTGATTATTTATGTCGTGGTGGAACTAGCGAAAGAAATGTTTACGCTTAAACCTAGGAAGCTTCACAAAAAGTTCATTGAATCGCGTATGGAAGCTGGGAAGCAAGTTTCTCTGGTGTCTGATTCGAAATTTTGCATCTCCAGAGCTGCACCATGGTACTGGTTCAAGCTATTTGCTCGCCATTAATGAGCTCTTTCCGAACTGGGTTTGAGCGTGATAAGTGCCAGATATTGATATTAATGTGCCGGGTGGTACCCAAGGCCTCGGGCAATAGCACTCGTGGTGAAAGGGTCAATCTGGTGATTTCGTCACTTGCGGGCCAAGAAGGATTATTTCAAACTTTGTGAGCTCGCTGAACAAGACTGTTTGGACATTTCTTACAACACAGAAAACTTACATTATTATGACTGGGTCATTGATTATTAGATGCTCCCGAAAGAACTACTTGGCTTCTTTATTCACTTTCTCCGTTCATCAATGTGTAACCACGATAAGCCGCCCATTGCTCAGTCGGTTTCCGGCTGTTCTGTCCCTGTTCGTCACGGACACCGCCCCTTCCGCGGGCCTGGGGCACGTTTTTGTGTGTAACGTGACTGTGATGGAGCGGCGTCCCTCCACCCCTCAAATCGCGTGCTCGGATGCCCACTTGACCGCGCCGTGCCACTATCTCAAGTACCGGACATATCTGAGGGTATCGGTGCGGCCGTGCACCGGCTATCGGCTGGACCGTGTCGAGCCTCCCAGGGAGCCCGACCGAGGTTACGGGGATCGTCGGGGCATTTGGCAATGGGTTGGGTGTCCATGAATGATGTCTACTAGGCTAGTTGCATTATAGGATGGTAGTTTGGGGCTGTCGGAATGCGCCCTCCCTGTGCCGCGCTTTGGTCGCTCCCCCTCGCCCAGCTTGGGTGCCGATGATGATGATGATGAAGTGCGGATGCATTTAAATCAAGCTGGGCAGTTGACCCCAACTGACTCCACTACTCTTTCGCACTCTATTATCACTCTCCGAAGTTCGTGATGGGCGACTACCAGTGGACGAGTTACGTTCTCTCACTCTCACTCTGTCTCACTCCCGCTGTTCGTGATGGGCGACTACCAGTGGACGAGTTACGTTCTCTCCTCTCACTCCGTCACTCTCCCACAGTTTGTGATGGGCGACTACCAGTGGACGAGTTACGTTCTCTCACTCTCACTCCGTCTCACTCCCACAGTTTGTGATGGGCGACTACCAGTGGACGAGTTACGTCCAGTTCGCGGCGCGTGCCGACGCGTTCGGCCGAGCCCTTCTGGCGGAGGGCGTGAAGCCGGGCGGACGCGTCTGTATCTTCGCCGAGACGCGGCAGGAGTGGCTGGAGGCCGCTGTCGGCGCGTTCACTCAGAATGTCACCGGTAAGGAGCGCTTGGGAGTGAGGGTTTGAAAGATCGTTTTGTGATCGGCAGGTGGGAGTCGGATGAGACAATGTGTTCATTTCAATGCTTCATTGTGTAACGAAAGCATCGTAGTAGATCGAAGTATACTTGATTTGGCCTGACCTAACCTGAACTAACTTGACGTGATCGACCCTTGTCCCCCAGTGGTGAGTTTGGTGACCCTGTACGCACGCCACTCTGGACGAGGACGCCATCTGACCTGACCCTTTGACCTGTGCCCCAGTGGTGACCCTGTACGCCACCCTCGGTGAGGACGCCGTCGCTCATGGTATCAACGAGACCGAGGTGGCTCACGTGATCACGACGCACTCACTGATGCCCAAGGTGAAGACGATCCTGAGCAGCTGCAGCAAGGTCTCGCACGTCATCTATATGGAGGACCAGGTCGGTGACGGGGCAGGGCGCAGGAGGGGGGTGATGGGGTGTGGGCTAAAGAGGTGATGTTATCGTCCCCTGAAAACACCCGTGCTGAACGCTTTACGGCGTTGCAGGGACATTACCTGTTATCGCAGCACCGGGGACAATAAAGGCAAATTGCCGTCATAGTGCTGCTGCGCAGCGCTTGCTGACTGGAAAATAATGGCGGCCACCAAATTTAATGATTGATTCAGCTTTCGTCCACTGAGAATGTCAGCCTTGACGATAAATGTGAGGGCTGATTTTCACCATGAAATAATTTTTGTCCTAGGATCAATTGTCAAACACGTAATGCTTCATCGGGGACTGCCCATCCTTTAAGTGGGATCCCACAGTGCGGCAGACAGTTGTCTGAACTTTTCTGGAACTGTTCTGTCCCATCCCTTAGCTGGAGAAGACAGACACCTCGGGAGTGAAGAGCGGCGTCAAGGTGATCCCGTTCGCCGACATGCTGAAGAAGGGACACGACGCCAAGTTCGAGGCACACCCGCCCACCAGCGACGACATCGCCATCATCATGTGAGTCGGAACTTCCGCTTAGCAGTTTGCTGTCTCTTTATTGCAGTGCTGCTTTTTCTTCAAATGAACATTTATTTATTTTTCTCTCGTATTTACACTTCTTTACGTATGACCTTATTTGTTCGCTGCTCATCTTGGGCAGAGCGTTACACACCCAAGCATTACTATCATTCAGGAATATTCTCTACTCTTCTTGATGTTTGGGATGCCTTACCACCCTGTGACTCACTTCCTCACCCTACCTCAGGTACACCTCCGGCTCTACTGGCACCCCGAAGGGCGTCATGGTCTCCCACTACAACATGGTGTCGACGATGACGGGGTTCGCGGTGGCGCTGGTGCCCTCACCCGAGGACGTCTACCTGGGCTACCTGCCGCTGGCACACGTCCTCGAACTGATGGCAGGTGCGGCCGCGGCTGACAGGACAGGGTGGAAAGGGGAAGGGTTGGGCGTACAGAGCGACGGAGTCAGGACTAGGGAAGGGGGACTGGTCGTACAAACGGCGGACTAGACAGGGCTGGTCAATCAGACAGAACGCTGAGTCAGTTCGGTGATGAGGGGCTGGATGCTGACAAAGCTAAATAAGATATGTTTGGGAAATTTGAGCCGAGCTCCAAAGTTCTAAAGCTGATATTGAATGTGGGACATGGTGTGACGACATGGTATGTGAGCCTTGAAGAAGCAATGTAAACTGCCCTCCCTGTGATCTGGGTCATCACAATGCGCCTGTAACCCCCTTCCCCCTCTGCCGCCACGCCGCGCTCTGACCCCTCCCTCCCCTCCCCCTCTTAATCACAGAGCTGTGCGCGGTGATGTTCGGCGTTCCGATCGGCTACAGCTCTCCGCTCACACTGATGGACAAGTCGAGCAAGATCAAGCGCGGCTGCCAGGGCGACTGCTCGGTGCTCCGGCCGACGCTGATGGCCGCCGTGCCCATGATCCTCGACAGGGTCGCTCAGGTCGGTGTGCTGCGAGAACGGAGAGAAAAGGGGGAGGGGGAGTCGAGATGGGGATGGTAGAGCTGTGGTATCGGCCGGAATATAGGGAGAAGTTGGCATATCAGCGTTGACTGGGACCAATGTGATGTGGTGATTGCCATCGAAGTTTCACATTCGTTGGCTCTGGTGTTGGCTATGTCTTTCTTACGGTCAACTAAGGTTGCTCATTTAACATCCGTTTTTGCTTTGTTCATTGGCTTCACAATTAATTATTATTTTTCCATTCAAAACTTCGAACTCATTGATTAATGATTACTATCTTTAGTTTGCATTACGCTATGTCTGGTGCGCTGCATGCAGTTGCTCTGCATTACTGCTGCCTAACTCAGAGGCTCCATCCCTTACCGCTTCAGTGTTCGCTGACAGAACCAACACACCGCCAGCTGGCACCTCCCACTGACCGTCACCCCCCCCCCCCCTCCCTCCCCTCCCGCCTCCAGGGTATCAAGGAGCAGATGCACTCTGCGGGCCGTCTGGCTCAGGGCCTGTTCAACTGGTTCGTCATGTACAGGAACTGGTGGCGGCGGCGCGGATTCTCCACACCCATCCTGCACAGGTGGGGGTCTGACGGATAGTCGGAGAGATCGGGGCGGGGACGGGGGGGGGGGGGCTGAGGACCGTAACATGATGGTACTAGTTGGATATCATGTCAATATCATGGTAGCGATGATCTTAAGTAAGAGACCTATTGCTGTAGAAATGTAGAAGGCTTTTGTTGGCTTCAGGAGCAGTAAAAACCTTATTACAAGGCATATCGTTATATTCTTCATGTAAAATCAAACGTTTCGTCTCTGAACAAAGACATCATCAGTGAAGTTACACACAACAGTACATATTATGAGAAAGCAAGCAATCAGGCGACATAACAAGAGCAACACAGTATCGCACATAAAATCATGCATATCATGAACGTTTCATGTTTCACCAAGGAAATTTTTGACGCAATTAAACGAGACCATGGAAATGTAGAAGGCTAATGGCTGTGATTATTGTAACATAGTGTCATGCTGTTTTTAGAAGCGGCGGTAACACGTTTCAATTACCTGAGCTTAATTTAAGCTCTCAGTTGAGCTCAGCTTTAGCTTTGTTCTACGGTTGTAGCGAACCGACATGGCTTGCAATCTGTTGGATTTCCGCGTCGTCGAGCCCGTCTCTATCGCGTTGTGTGACTTCCTACTATCTGCCACTATCTCGAAACAGTGGCTCAATTTACCGAGCTTCTCAAGTGGCTGCCTTATCGTGGCTTAAGCAGCCTGCTCCAGTTACTGATTTCGCAATAAAAGTACAGCTATACTGGCACTACGTGCTAGATTTGTTGAAATATCATAAGTATTACAGCTTACAGTTCTCTAACACTACATAGTACATCGTACATTTGTATCCCAGCGCTTTCATTTCTCCCACCACGATGCAGGTGATGCAGGTGAGAGATGAAAGCGGCGCGCCCCTGACTGTTCCCCTCCGTTCACAGCCTGGTGTTCAGCCGTATCGCGGGCCTGCTCGGCGGCCGGGTGCGGGCCCTGACTGTCCCCCTCTGTTCACAGTCTGGTGTTCAGCCGTATCGCCGGCCTGCTCGGCGGCCGGGTGCGGGCCATGGTTTCTGGCGGAGCGCCACTCTCCGAGGTCACCCACGATCTGATCCGCTCCTGTATCGGCTGCAGCGTCATGCAGGGCTATGGACTCACCGAGACGACTTCTTGCGCTTCACTGATGGACGGTGAGAGGAGGAGAGAGGGATGAGGGATGGGTAGAGAGCTTGTTTTGTTGGGTTAGGCCCTTTCGGTCTGACAAGACCATTGCAGAGCCGAGGGTAGAGAGCAGCTGGATAAGGGGATATAAGTGGGAATAGTGAGATACCTGGGAGACCTTAGTGGATGGTAGTACCTTGTTCTTAAAAAAAACGCGATCCAATCGCTCGGGGTCCAAACGACGGATGACTCGATGCGGGGACCCGGTCATTTATTTTGCGTGTCCGACAGAGGGCAGGACTGTCGCTGTGACAGATGTGAGACTCTCTTGACTGACCTGACCCACCCCCTCCTCGCCCCCGCAGAGTACGACGTGGCGGTGGGCCGCGTGGGTCACCCGGTCAGCTGTTGTGACGTCCAGCTGAGCGACTGGGAGGAGGGAGGCTACAAGGTCACCGACCAGCCCCACCCCAGGGGAGAGATCGTCGTTGGTGAGTAGGGCGGAGGGGAGGGGCGCTGCCCGGGTTAGAGTTCTTCTCAGGTGACTGAGAGGCTACCCACACTCCTCAGTTTCATTTCAAGTGTGATTGCTGGGTATGGGAGGGGAGAATCGACACTGCCGGATAGTCCTGATAATGGAAGCTAGTATCTTTCTACGAACAGCAGCTCAAATTATCCCGGCTTCTCTGTGCCATTATCTGACGTTTCGTGCCGTCCGCAGGCGGTGACAACGTGACGATGGGCTACTTCAAGCAGCCGGAGAAGACGAAGGAGGAGTTTTTCGAGTCGGACGGCCGCCGGTGGTTCCGGACGGGAGACATCGGCCTCATCTACCCCAACGGCACCATCAAGATCGTCGGTACGGCAGATACTCACAGACCTCTTTTGATGGGAGTCGATTGACCTGACTGGGTTGTTTTCATCACTAATTTTCTCGCGTTCTGGGTTTTAGGGTTACAAACATCCGTAGGTAATCGTAAAAGAAATGTTTTTTTTTTTGTTATATTTGGAAGTGGATGTATACGTGGTGGTAGGTATTCCACTTGTTACGATCGAAAAGTAAATGATTTTGTAGGACACTCGATGCTTAGGACCCGATGTCCTAAATGTATGACTCGGTGCAAGGCATGTTTCTACACCGTTTATCAACCTTTTAACTTCAGTTCCCCGCCTCTGACGTTCCTCCTCTGCCGTTTCCCCTTCGCAGACCGTAAGAAGGACCTGGTGAAGCTGCAGGCGGGCGAGTACGTCTCTCTGGGACGCGTGGAGACCATCCTCAGCACCAGCCCCTTCGTCGACAACATGTTCGTCTACGGGGAGTCCTCCAAGAACTTCGTCGTGGCCGTGGTAGTGGCCAACGCCAAGCAGCTGGGCTTGCTGGCAAAGGAGGTGCTGGGGTCGGAGGCCGAGGGGAAGTCGCACGAGCAGCTCTGCAAGGAGGAGCGTCTGGAGGAGGAGGTCCAGAAGCGGCTGGTCAAACAGGCGCGGCACGGTCAGTGGGGGCAGCGGAGTGCGACGGGGGGGGGGGGTGATAAGGAGGGCAGAAGAGTGACATGGTTTGATTGGGAGTGGGATGCAGGTTGGGTGGGCTTTGGGGCAGGGTGTTTCGACAGTCTCAGTGCGGATTATTCATAAGAAATTCGGCTTTAGTGAATCACCCACATGTTCTTGTCGTAACTTAGCTTGTGATTGTGAGGAAATAGCGACACTTAAATGAAGTCCCCCATCCCCATCATCTATGTCGGCTGCCATCCGAAACTGTCTTATCAATCCCCTCTGACCTTCTGTGTCTGCTCCCCTCCGCCAGGTCGTCTGGAGAAGGCCGAGATCCCCGCCCGGGTGGCCCTGACCTCGGTCTCGTGGTCGCCCGATAACAACCTGGTCACAGCCGCCTACAAACTCAAACGCAAGGAGCTCAGCAACTACTACAAGGATGACCTGGAGCGACTGTACAAGTAGGCGGCGTGGTACCTGAGGCCGTACGCGGTACGGTACCGGTGCGGTACGCACTGCGGTACCGTACCTGGTGTAGTGTGTCCGTTGGCGGCAGCAATATCTCGGCAGCCCGGGCCCTGAGGTCGGTTGTGTGAGGGGTTCCCTGTAACTGGCTAGGCCCGCCTGGGATGGGTTTTGTCTGGCAGAGTCGGTACTGAGGCCGGGAGGGTGAGCGCAGGGGACGAGAGACTTTTGGAAGGGAGTCGGTCTAGCGTTATACTGTGGGGCCATTTTACACTGACCTGACTCGTGTTTGGTTTGGTTTTGTGCCGACTTGACGTGTAACAGACGGTCAGAGACACCAACTAGCTGTCTCAATGGCGCTGTTTGCAGCTCATTGGCAGCAATTAATGTCGCCGAGTCGATTTGGAAAAGCCGAGTGAGGCTGCTCGTCGGTCAGCTTCTTGACTGGTTAAAAGTATTCATCCAGTGATGAAGTAATGGATATTACAGTGCTTCAGGCTTTCTTTGGGTTTGATATTCATGGCTGCGAGTGGGGCATTTGAGCCGAAACAGAGTGGGTCGCCTCAGTTTGATTCGGTAGACGTATTCTTGTACGAACGGTAGGAGGGTGAGACTGAGCGGACTGCTGAGTCAGTTTTCTATTTATGCCTCAGTGTCTCGTCCTGCTTCCCCCTAATCCGCTGTCTCATGTCCACCCAGAGGCTTTTAGCTGGAGTATTACGCCCGTCTACTGACACAGGATGCGACTTTTGGCTCCGTGTGTGAATATTCCTGTCACGCGGTGGCCGAGTAGTTTGCCAGTACATACTGCGGCTTATCAGTAGTTGTTCCGCTGTGGGCCGTTCGGAACTAGTCCGAAAGTGGTGTAGCATTTTGTAATCAGATTTGCATAGAGCGTGACCCGTAACCCACCCATTTTGTGCGTAGATCATTGCATTATACGAGTCGCGATTGTATGCGTGTGATGCGTTGCTAACTGCGATTTTATCTTGCCTACAAATGTCGCCTTGATTGTATTGAGTGGATCACAGCTCGACAGGGTGATTTTGTGTACATTCTGCTTCAACGATTTACTGCGAGCTTTTCGCGCTGCTGTGAGTGTTCTCGAGTGAGTGAGACGCCTGTTACTTGTGAGTGTGCCCCTCCGTTCGGCGGCCAGAGAACAGTCAGCAGAAAAGACAGACGGTTTGTGTGGGTCGGAGTCGCCCCCGACATGTATTTACAGTCTGAGGATACGGCGCCGGCGCCCCGGTAAAAATACACGCTGGCGCTGGACGGTCGGCGTGTCTCGGGGACCACGGGCCGCCCCGGCAGATGGGTGACTATGTACAGATGGACGGCCTAGTCAGTGCTGGCGGCACCGGGCCGAGTGAGAGATGAAAGCTGGAACCACAGCGGCGACGGCCGGCCGCCGAAACCCGCAGACTACGGCACTTAGTCGCCACATGGCAGCACCATTCCTGTGACACCAATAGGCAACTGTCTGTCGCGGCCCTCTAGCTAAAACCTCTCTAATACGCATCACAATAGTAAAATCAGACCTGACTAAGTCACAGATCGAAGGCTAAAAACGTTCGCACTCTATTCGCAAATATCGCAATTTTAGATGCACTTCTAGCTAATAATCGGCAGCAAAGATGTCTTTCACCGTTCAGACAACCTGGCCGCCGTTTCGTCCAGAGCTATATGACTTCTTCTCTGACAGATAAACGTTAATACAGTCAAAAAAATTAATGAATCTCGTTGAAGGACGCTCTCCCGGCATCCCTATGCCCCGAATCACGATCCTATGGTCCTCAGATGACATCACAATCTCATGACGTCACATTCCGCGTGACGGGCCAATCAAAACTCGGTTTGCAGCATGAACTTGGCGTGCTGGGTCTGTAGAAGCTCTGGTGTCTCCAGTTTGCTCTGAGTTCGGACGGCCACCAGGGGTTTGCCGCTGCTGCCGCTAGATGTCAGCACCGACTGCAGCTGCGCCTGCGCCGCCGCCAGAGTCGCTGTGGGGGAGGGGGTCAGCGGTTAATGGTAGAGTGACTGGTGCTTGGTAGAGGGCCATTGGGTACCATGACTCAGACTACGGTGTTTACATTAAAACACTCCGAAGTCCAGCCATCCCAAGACCAACCTACACACACTACGTACTCGTCCTTGATCATGCGTTCCTGTTCTAGGTCGACAATCATCTCACCCAGGCAATGTGTGAGAAAGTTTTCAGCACGATTACGTCCCTCTATCACACTACGTCACTTGGCTTGCCGACCCGCTCCCGCCCTGCCAGTCCCGCTCCCGCCCAGCCCAACCCTGTCAGTCCCTCGCCCCGCCGGGTACTCACAAATGAGTTCAGTGAGCGCCGCCCCGCTGCCGTCCGCCTGGAAGAAGAGCATGTTGCCGCCGAGAGTGACGCCCGACTCGAACACGGAGCCGTCCAGCTCGAGCAGCGTCGCCTGCTCACCCTGCACCGTGCCTGTGGGGAGCGGAAGCACATCGGTTACAGGGCTGCTTAGACACATCGATCACCGTCTAATTTAGACACCTGACGGGGAAAGGCAGATATCTTATTGGGTGCTTCACCGGACGGAATGGATGGAAAATTACTCGACCCATTTTATCAACGCAGGATGTCGTTGATGCACATTTCATTGAAAAAACAAAGATGTTCTACATACCTACGTGACACAACTCGGGTTAGCAATCTGCTTCCCGTTTACAGAAGCGTCCCCCGCCTGCCATCCATTCACCGTCTACGCTCCGTCCTTTCCCACCAACCTCGCCTTCACTCACCGTTTGCCGTGTGTCTCCGTCCGTCCAGCTCCACCGTGACAGTGACGGTGCGCGCCGTGGCCTCGGGGTCCTCCAGCAGACAGGTGACCCGAATGCCGGCCTCCCGGGCCAGCAGCGGCGCGCTGATGAGGTTGACACCGTTCTGCGTCATCCCAGACATCAGGCCGACCAGCACCGAGGAGCCCAGGAACGGCCGCATGTGCGACATCTCCTGGCCTGTGGGGGAGGAGGGGAGGTCAGTTCGTGAGTTTAGGAGACGGAACACTGTGACGCTGTGCGTGTTGAGGGCCTGAATCGCACATGAAGATCATCACCCTCCCAAGCAGGCTAGAAGGCAAGACGAGACGAAACTAGTTAACATTGCGCTGCTCCTCCTCGCTGTTCAGGAATATGACTACAGTTTCTCGGCGCTCACCTCGGAGTGTGACCTGCAGCTCGAAGGGCCGTCCGGAGCCGACCCCGGCCAGCTGTCCGGTGACGGCTCCCAGGGCGCGGCCCAGCTGCAGCCACGGCCGGCTCTCCCCGCTCAAAGCGCTGGTCAGGCAGGCGGCGTTCGCCAGACCGGCCAGAGGGCCACCCTGAGAAAGAGATGTACGGTTAGGGAAGAGAGACAAGACAGACATGTTAGAGGAGCGAAAGACAAACTGGCGAGAGGACCGCTCTGTGGGGAGAGAAATGTCATAGGGAGAGGAACATAGGTGGGGAGGGCATTCGTATCGAACTGAAGTTTCACTGCATTCACGTTCTGCATTATGAAATGAGCTTTGATGTCGGCTGGGACTTATAACGACCCTCCAGCTCCCAATCTGCCCTTGCATCTGCCCTGAACCCACCCTTCTCCCTGTCTGTCCAGTTTTCATTCGAGCGCTCAGTTTCCCCGGCTACTGTCCCGCGTCCAATCTCCCCGTTCCCCCGACACCCACCCGGACGGCGGTGCAGATCTGCTCGGCCAGCTCGACGGCCACGCGCCGCTGCGCCTCGCCCGTGTTGGCGCCCAGGTGCGGTGTGCAGATGACGGCCGGGTGCCGCACCAGCCGCAGGTCGGTCGGCGGCTCCTCGGCGAACACGTCCAGGCCGGCGCCGGCGCACTGGCCCGACTCCAGCGCGGCCAGCAGCGCCGCCTCGTCCACGATCCCGCCGCGCGCCACGTTCACCACCCGAACCCCGGGCTTACAGCGGGACAGAGAGTCGGCGCTGATCAGATCTGCCGGGGGGGAGAGTGGGGTAAATAAACACCAAACCACCCGCGCTTACAGCGGGACAGAGAGTCGGCGCTGATCAGGTCTGCCGGGAGGAGAGGGGTAATTAAACACCAAACCATCCGCGCTTACAGCGGGACAGAGAGTCGGCGCTGATCAGATCTGCCGGAAGGAGGGGGGTAAATAAACACCAAATATAACATGTTTTACGTCATAACCTTCATCTAACATTAAATACTTCTACATGAGCTTAACGTTAAAACTCCTCCCATTCCGATTTTCCGTCCTTTTTTCTAAAAGACAATCACGAATTAGCAGAATCTCAACATCACGGTTAACGATCAACGATTACATGTTTGAGTTTTTGATCTCTGGACTGCCGATGCCCAGGTCCCCGCCACTGTACCCGCCCCTACACTCACTCCTGGTCTGCGGTATGAGCGGCGTGTGGACGGTGATGTAGTCGGCGTCGGGCCAGATCTGGTCCAGCTCGCGCTTCTCGACGTGGAACTCGCGGGCCGCCTCGGCTGACACCATCGGGTCAAAGCCGATCACCTGACGGGGCGAGGGAGGGGCAGTTCGGTGAGAGCCGACTTCGATAGATTGGCAGCTAGGTATATGCCTTATTTACGAACAAATTAAACGCACATTCATCGTCTTATTGATAAATAAGAGAAGCACCTCCTCATAAAAATCATCAATAGAAAATAAAATAAAGCGTAAACGGTGAGCGAATACGACTGACACGATGTAGCAAATGCGGGAAGAAAACGCTTCAACAGGAGATTATTGCCCTCGAACCGATAAATTTCAAAATGTAGCATTATGTGCAATGTACGATAGCAAATGTACGAGTCCTAACATATGTTCGTCAGCTGACATAGCACGGATATCTGATCCGTCTGTTGCCGCCACCTACCTTCATTCCGAAGGAGCGCATTCGGTGCGCCACCTCGCGTCCGATCCGCCCGAGGCCGAGCACCGCCAGAGTCTTGCCGTACAGTTCAGAGCCCATGAACTTACTCCTGAGGACGGAGAAACGACGTCAGCGTTAGCCGAAAATGAGGGAATTGCTAAGTTACGCCTGAACAGACAGCATATTGCTATTTCTGAGGCTGGATTGTCGTCCGGCGCTCGTTGAAATGGGCTGAACATTCACCGTGCCACAGCGCCGCAGCGCAAACCTGACAGGTAGGCTGTGCCGCAGCGCACACCTGCAAGGGTAGGCTGTACCGCAGCACACTCCGATGGAATACGGCTTCAGACACGGCTCTGGGCTAGCGAAAGCGATGCGTGTTATTTTCTGGTGAATAAATGAATTGTAGGTATTGGATAGTTTTATCTGCATGATCTCTCCAACGAATTGCGCTATGGAACTCGGAAGCGATATGCATTGTGCTTCGGCCCACTTAAGAACTTTGCTCGCACTTCACTCACGCGACATGTATCTGTCGGCCTCGGGGATGTATCTGTCGGTATAACAATATTGTGCGCTTAAAGCTAAAAATGTAAATGTCGTGAACGTCACGGTGATAACGACCTGTCTAATGCTATTTCGTGGTAGACGGTCGCGATTTAATTAAAGAATCGACCGCAGTTTTTTGCGATGTAACAAAACATGAGCGCGGGTATCGTAATTCGTAACGTTTAAGGACTTCAGTACCCGATATTACGACCACGCAGCACATATCCAGTACAACCCGAGTCCGGACAAAAAGCCACGACCTTTGCTTTCACCCGCTCGAACCCCGCAGTATACACGTCACGGTATTCCAGGAACCGAGGGCCGGCTGCCACCCCGCCCGGCCCCGCCCGGGTCACTGACCTTTCCCACTTGCCGTCCTTGAGAGAAGTGCAGGCGGTTACCAAGTTCCTGCTGAGTGCGGCGATCATGACGCATGTATGTTCGGCGGCGCTCAGAGTGTTTCCTCCAGGCGTGCTGGGGGAGGGGGGGGGGGGGTCAGACCAGGAGTCTAGGTCATACATGCAGGGTGCATGTGGACCGGTAGAAAAACGGGACTTCGGTTAGCAACCGGCGCTGGAGCCTGGCCAACTATTCAGACGGCAACCGTTATTCAGGTTGATGTACGTTTCTTTTGTAAACAATGAATATGCTCTTACTATTTTAATGCGCTCTTACACTTTTACACTGGACACCGGGCATTCACATTTCTCTCATCTAGTTCTTACACATCATTTATTGTGACAAATACACTCAACGCTTAGTAAGAAATACATACATGATGTTTTTTCATTGGAGTACCTATGTATAGTGATGTGCAAAATTATTTCTAAAATGTCCGTAAGCTTGGATAATTAGTCAGTTGGCTTCAGGTGGCAGCCAATTCTTCCTCAGGGCTTTACTTACTTCATGACGAGCACGCCGTGCCTGGTGGCCGAGTCGAGGTCAATGTTGTCCACGCCCGTTCCGGCTCGACCAATCAGCTTCAGCGTCGGCGCCGCCTGGATCACCTGTGACGTCACCTTGGTGGCCGAGCGCACCAGCAGCGTGTCGTGGCTCTGAAACACGAGCACATGACGTCACCGAGTCGTACGGAAAGAGCGGCAACAACAACAACGGGTCGAGAAACGTCAGAACTACGAGCAACAGCCGGAGACACTAAAAATAGACGGAGCATATTTCGCAATGTGTTGCAGTTCCAGCATCAGCTTTCGGTGCAATTACACATTACACAATGTTTGCAATTCTCACTGAAATGCCCTATGCCCCTTTGGACGGTTACCAAAAACATAAACATAATGGTAGCGGGCATTGCAGCAATACCTCGAAACATTACATGGACATTCGCCGTAGTGGTCAGGGAAATACGTCGTGTTTCCTACAACTTCTAAGCAGTGAAGGAATTTGTAAACCTATTATTCGTCCTAGCATGTTCTATGAGGGTTGAATTCAGTGCGCCGCTTTGTTGGATCATCAGAACTGCAGCTATGAATAGGTCAGCATACGGTTTATGGTGCGTGATCCTCAAAGATCTTATCTATGTGGTGACTGGGAAGACGGCATAATTAACGAAGCTATAAAATGCCACCAAGTAACAGGGCACCTATACATGTCCCCGACGCAATCGCAAACCCGCATATTCTTTAAACGGATGCCAAATGTTACTGTTTTGAAGTACCTACATAAATAAAGTCAGAGTAGGATGCCAAATGTTACTGTTTTGAAGTACATAAATAAGGTCAGAGTACTTATTCCACAGGTACCTAAAACTCAATCCTAGCTTGCCAATTATCAGTGGGAAGGCAATATGCTCAGCTTGCACGGTATAAGAGCGGCGGTTACATGTAACACGTCTGCATGCATGTATTCAACTGTAAATGGTCTCATAAGCACATAAGGCAAGCCTTCAACCAGACGCTCTTCACGCCATGATTTATCATGGACATCGTTTGCCAACACTGGTCAGACGCTGATTACCTACTGCAGCTGGGACATTCATCAAACCAACACAAGACTTTGACGTCACCAGCGATCGCTTACTAAACCGGACCGCAACGTTTCGAAACGAGTATGAGTAGGCATTTTTTCTTGCATCGAAATGTGCACATTGTGCAAAGATGTTTAGTTTGATCGTTGCGGACGTAGGGTAAGGTGCCTAATTAGCGACCCCCTTAATTTGAACCGTCATTGCTCACGCTCTGTGGGTGCCACTGTGTTACTGGCTTGATTTTCGGAGAGATCGTTCATTTGTCTATTAAAATATAGTCATTTTCTGCCTCAATATTCACTAACTTATTTGTAGTGAGCATTTTGGCAAGCCATTGCAAAAAACGCTAATAGGGAACTCTTCCCGATTAGCGACCGGGGAGGGTCGCTAATAAGTCTATGGGTTTCCCCATATTAAAAATGGCAAAAAATGCGACGCCTGAAAAGATGAAATATGATCTCAAAAAGGTAACCTATACGCAAAGCACTCAATCACTCGAACAGGAACGTTTATCCAACACATTTACGTAAGTAAAAACTGATCACGTGATGCACCGAAGGCGAAAAGAAGGCAGAAACCCAAATTTTGCGGGCTATCTTGTATGATATTCGAGGTCCGCGCTGAATTCGGCACCCCTGCAGTCGGTGACGACATTTGGCATCCCCTGCCACACATTGCAAGCTTCAGCAAAACCTCATTTTCATTTCTCTCTTTTCCCCTTTCTTTCCCCTCTTGAGCTATTTGCGACCATGTCAGGCGCAAATAGGAAATATGAGTTGCGACACATTTTTAACCGGCATGCTGTGCACAGTTGAGCGATTCACTATGGGAAAACGGCAATCAATTAAAAAAGGAATGTCGATTCAGAATAAAAAAGATGCATCATCCTAATGTGCATCGCTTTTCATCAGAGAGGGCCCAAACACACACGTTTTGGATAAGAAACTCGTCATTTTTATTTGAACTCACCTGAAACGTCCCACCAGAAACATCGACGACCGGAAAATAATTTAATTTGATAACCAAATTATGGCCGACCTTTTGACGATGTTTTTACCCCGTTTTCTCCTGCCAGTTTTTCTGTAGGGAGGTAGGTCGCAAATCGGAAAGGGTCGCTAATTAGGCACCTTACCCTATGCATTACTAAACACATGTCGCACGCAGTGTTTTGAAAAGGGAAGACTGGAGATACAAATTATGATAGAAAATACTGATAACCAAACCTTTCTATGGTAAATTGGCCCTCAAATAGCGATTTAGCGATTTAATTGCCCAACAATACGTTAACACACCGCAGCACTCCTGGCTGCCGCCGACCTGCGGCCCTGTCGTCGTCCCACCGACTCGACCCACCTCCAGCTGCTTGATGAGCTCGTCCTTGGACATTTTCGGCGCGACGGTGACGTGCAGACCCTGGCTGCGCAGGATCTCGGCACACTGCACGTTGATGCCGTCCGTCATCAGAATTCTGGATACGGGCAGCGCCATGACCTGTCGCAGGGATCAGAGGTCAGGTCACATAGGGCGCAGGTCAGGCCAGACAGACGCGGGTCATGTATAACAGAGGTCAGGTCAGACAACTGCGGGTCACATGTGGCAGAGGTGAGGTCAGACAGCCACCGGTCACAAAGGGCAGAGGTCAGGTGAGACAGACGCAGGTCCTGTATAATAGAGGTCAGGTCACATAACCACCGGTCATGTACGCCAGATGTCAGGTCAGAACTCAGAAGTGCGGTTCACATAGGCTAGAGGTCAGGTCAGAAAGACGCAGCTCGATGAAGCAGGGATCGATCAGGTCGGACAGCGGGGTCGCGGACGACATTCAGCACAATTACCATTTGCAGCTTACGGGACATTCACTTTCTACTGATAGGTGTACGTCTGATGGTCTATTAAATACAAATGCGTCTTTCCCCAACATTTTATCGTGAATTACGTAAACATACTCACTAGTATTTACGCCTTCCATAAGCACATCTACATGCACCATAAGTTAAAAATGCATGCGATGCATAACGCCGAATAGTGAACACCTATACATATTTGGCACAAATTGCAGCTCAAGTTAGGTTCAAGCAAAACTACAGTGGCGAGATGCGACCCCTTTTTGATGTGTTTCCGGTTCGGTATGACCGTTTTTGTGGCACCACGGTCAAAAGAGCTGGGACGGTTAAAATTACTGCATGTATTTCGTTTAAGAGCGTTCTAGCGTGTCTTGTCTGTTTGTTGTATTTTTTTTAGCTTATTTACAGGGCAGTTTAGGACTGTTTGAACATTCAGGAGTTCCTGAAAACTACACTACGAGAAAACAAAGCTTACAGCATGTATGAAGCAATAACAATACACATTATTTACCGTATGATTTAACAATAAACATCTAGAGAAACGGTTTCTTTAGAATTTCTGAGTCCCGACTATAATCTCCCAGCAAACCAATCAACCCATACTGTAACATTCACATCCGGCTATCAATAACTGCAATAAATTTAAGTTTGCATTTCACTCAACTTTTGATATGCTGTGTTTACTTTGACAGTTTTAAGAAGAAGAAAAAATGTGGCTACAATTAAGGTCAAGGACAATTTTCCGACCAAACAGTATCATAAACCCATAGAAAAACAGCTCACATTTTAAATACAATTATACCTGACGTCGTAAGTCGAACAGTTAGAGCCTTAACCATTATCCCATTTAGAACGGCTATCGAAAGCTAAACATGTCCGCAAAACGGATCTGTCAAACACAATTCAGCAAACATTCAGATACAAAATGAATATTTAGTTGATCGATATCGAGCGATCATCTGACGCAGCTAAGTGACGATGGGTACGTCAGCACTGATGACCGACACCCGGCCGTCGTCAGGTGTCACTACATCTGTCGGATGTTGATCCGAGGGCGCGGCGCCCGCGGCCCGGCGCGGCGGCCTCTGTTGACTTACGGTGCACTGGTGTGTGGGCTCAGGTGCTGCTCAGGGTCCCCCTCGCCTGTCGACAGGCCACTATACGGCTATTTTCGGCCCACTCCTGTATATATAGTGTTCCAGTCAAAAGCCGCCGCGCGACTGCAGCACCTGCCCCGCGCGGCGGGCAGCCGGCGGCGCCAGCCCCGAGCGCCGGCGGCCTACGAAACTACCCTGTCCCCCCGCCCCCACCAGCGGAAAATTACTCACAGTACGGTCCCCCCGACTGCCCACCGGCACTGTGGACCCCTGACCTCTCTGTAGGACCCTCTTGCATGTAGCTCCATAGACGAAGAACGTATTTACGGCCAAAAAGGGCACACGAATTTGGTTGGCGCTCAGGAGCACGTGCAGTGCGCGTGCTGGGCCCGCGACCCTGCTGACCAGTTCCGGCCAAGAGTGACCGGCGACCAACCCGTAATATCAAGAAATATCCAGTAATAACTGGTTATTTCTGGATCAAGTAGAGTACGGCCAACCGTCACGTCATTTGAGCTGCGAGAAAAACAGGGGAGGCAACACTGCAATAGAGCGGCACTGTCCATACGGGATTATCCTGCACCAGCATCAGGAAGCCGTTTATTCAAACAACTCTTCTCTCCGGGAACTCTACCGGACCATTTTGGAGCTGGCGCGAAAATGACGAGCAGTACAATCCAGCATTTTACTCAGAATTTGGCGTCAGCTCAAGATGTCTTATAGTCCGAAGAGCCGGTAGCTAAAACTTCCCACAACTGTGTGCGCGGTAAATGCCGACTGTTCCACACGGGAAAGGTCACCACGCAGCCGGATCCTTGAAGCACCAAAACAAATTTCTTCTTTAAGACTTGCGATAAGATTGCCTTTACCGGTGCCTTGCTTGGTAAAAGTATACACTAAGTTCGAGGGATTGTTAATCGGACCTTATATACTAATACCCCTTGCTTTATCGGATATGTAAAACGTCATATTTCCATGGGTGTAACTGCCTGCAGGGACAGGGTGGAATATCCGCACCAGTTTTTTCGGGCGCCGAAGGTGCCCTCCCCTCCGACCTTTTCTAGGACCTTCATAACGCAAACGGCGCATAGCCCATGAGAAACGTTACAAAAACGACTCTCTCACTTTCCAGGCGCCACTGTTTAACCCGCGCCCTGCTGGGGGTCCTGGATTTCCACGCCCTGCTGGGGGGGGGGGGGTGTTTGAACACCCCCCCCTTGTAACTCGGCTCTTGGGCCACGTAGCGATACGCGGAAGGCGGCGTTCGAAAGAGCGTAAAAAATAATGACGAAATCACTTCGGTCAATTTTTTGGTCAGGTCAAAGGTCAGGTCACCAGAGGTCATTGAAGGCAAAATTTCGCCGATTTCCAGGTCGAATGTCGAAAATTTCCAAGAAGCCAACGCATAGCTCGGGAACCAATAGAGCTACAGCAACGCGGAAAAGTGCATTCGATAGCCCTATAAACGCCCTTTCTGAGCAATTCTCTCAGATTTGACCTAACGTCAACGGATTTGCCTACAGGGGGCAAAAACTGCAAAAATAGCCGATTTTTTTCGGAAACAGTTTTTCTGCAATAACTTTTGACCCAAGCCTTGTACGAGCTTACTTTCACCGGCATCGTGTTCCTCTCGTCAAGACGCATCGAATGAACTATAACTTGACCTTGAAAGGTGAACTTGAAAATTTGACCTCAGGTCAAGGTCATGACCTGACCGGAAAGGGTCATGTTGCATATCAGTCGATCCGTATCGTCGAGCTGAACACATATAAGGCGTTTTCATCGCTCTAGCATGCCTCTATCAAAAGTTATTTGCGAAAAACTGTTAGATACCATTCGTGACCTAAGATGACCTCAGGGCACAAACAGGGGTCACGGACACCATTTTCATGTTCAGTGTGTCTAAACCACTTGTAATTCAGTGTTCGGGAGTGTTTATAATGTCTTTCGTCCAAAAGAGGCGCATTTCAATTTTCTCCCATTGACTTATAATGGGGAGGTCGCAAAATTGACCTGACCTTAGGTCATCGATATCAAAATTCTGAGATATACATTTTGTACATGCTATTGCTCTTAGCAATCGCTGAAAGTTTCAAAGCGATCGGTCACTCGGTGTAGCTATGACAGACATTGAAACTTTTTATGAGGTGAGGTCACTTCAAGTGACCTGGTGACCTGACCTTGAGTGACCTTGGTCTGAAATTTTCACAAAATGTGTAGAATTGATGTATGATAAGGTGTACCAAAAACGGCGGCGCGGAGCGCCGCCGTTTTTTGAGATATTCGCGAAAAACCACAAGGGGGGGTGTTCAAACACCCCCCCCCCCAGCAGGGCGCGGGTTAAGTCAAAAGGACGGCGAACTCATCTTAGAACACGAGACGTACCGATTGTCGGCAGCATGTCTTAAAAGAACACGGATGCAGTTTTTCGTAAGATGCCTAACTCGCTACGCTTGTCAATCCAAAAAATGGCCTTTCGGTCTTAAGTCCGAAAATGTTTTGCCCCACGCATCTATGAAATCACTTACCATTGAGTAGTCATATCAACTTATGCCCATTTACTTACCGAAAATTAAGTCGTACTACCGTGATCCCATTGATTCTACGATTCGCACTTTGTCGCTGGAAGAAGAGAGCCCGGGACGATCACTCGTTATTCACTCACGGTCACTGAGCTCTCGCAGCAGCACAGCCGTAGCACCAGCGCTCCCGGCCCGTTGTTCGCCCGCACGGTCCGGGTCGCACCCCAGGCGGTCAGCCCAGGTCAGCCCAGGGGCGCACCCAGGATCGGCCGGCCGGTGGGCCCAGCCAGCGGTCAAGATCATCATTTACTGAAGAATAATGGTATTCGTGTCTGCATATAAATGGTGCCCTTGCATTGAATTATACGCAATAGAATAATTAACCGTTTTGAGAAAGCATATAAATACACATAAGTAGGTATTCTGTTTTCATTTTTGGGGTCAGCACAATAGATACAATGCAATGAAGTCTAGATACAAAATCATTGCAATGATGTTTCAGTATTCCTCACCTCCTCGAGGCATCCTTCTCAGCCCAGACGTTGCAGATAAACGTAATTTAGCAATACGATAACATGGTGAAACGTAAAGCATTGCTAGCTTGATTGCACTGCTGGATTTATCCCGCAATTCAATTTTTGTGTTATAAGTAGGTCATCCTTATCGATACGTTCAACCTTGTTGCGTTCTAATAAGAACTTCTTTATTCTGTGGATTAATAGGCCGTCTTGGGTATCGACACTTTCTCGGTGGGTTCGTTGCGAATCAAAATGCATAGAATTGATTTTTCTCGGAGACGATTTACATACATATGTATTACGCAAACCGTCGCCGTTTATAAGCCATTATTCGTCAGATCAGTAGTTGTTATTATATCGCTGTCATTACCTACAAGAAAATTATGAAAATCTGCTTGATCTGTCCGTCCTTTTTTCGACCAGTCCCAGCTCCGTTTCGCGGCGTGCCTGGCTCCGCTCAGATCCGTGTGTGTGCATTGACGGGCAGCTGGAGTCATATGTCCTCCACTGACACGCACCGAGATGCCGCAGGGCAAAGGTCACGTTGGCGAGCACGTGCGCCTGCGCGGCGTCCCTCACCACTGACATAGTTATGGCAGCGGTGACCCCAGGCGGCGACAGGAGCGCCCGGAAACGGTACACATGAGCCCGGGCTGCCTGGCACCGGCGGGTGCACCCGCCGGTGTGCACCCGCCGTCCAAAGCGGCCCCATGGGGCCGCTTTGGACGGGAGCTCACCCGGTAACGGCCCGGCACGGGGGTGGCTAGCACCCGTGCTTTACATTGGTTTCGGATATGCTCACGGTGGGAGAGTCCCGTGAGGACTTCCGTCGAGACTGGCTCGTGTTTACGGCCGCCGTGAGCCGCGGGCCTGTGAGCTGAGCCGGGGGCGGCGCGGCGGTGACCCGGCCGGCCAGTCCCGGGTGGCCTGACGCAGACGACGGAGCCGTCTCCATCAGGCCACAGACGCGTGATCGCCGGCCCGGGCAGGAATTTTCCACTGCCGCACTCCTGGTCTGTCTTGTTGCAACCAGAATGGAGCTGTCTGGGCCAGAGAGCCGCGAAGGGGACTGGGGGCGGGGCTGGGGCGGCGTCTCCCGGGGAGGGGAGGGGACGGCAGAGTGCGGCCACCGCGCCGGCCCACAGCGGCCCTCAGAGCCTGTTCACTTTGTTTTGATGAGTGACGGGTAGGCGTGGATATATGGTCGTTTATCCAAACATCGCGAGTTCGCCGTTTGCTAAATGCTTAACCTCATTTTTAGCAAGGCACTTGTATAACCGGAATGATCAGCAATAATATTTTTAACACCATTTTGAGCAGGGAGCGAGTGTAGTCTATGGCTCAATAACGGTGTGAATAAAATCTAGGCCAATTCGCATGAAGGTGGAGCAAGCAGTGGCCTCTATGATAATTATACGAACAGCGTTAGTTACGTCACATATACGTAGGCGTCGCTGTTTTCACACAACATTTTTAACATGCATGCGTGAAGTATCACTATCAATTTAGTTTCCAATAGGGACCATAAAATGAAATGAACGGTTACAACAAATTTCAAAATATTTTTTTTTTGTTTTGTTTTGCTATATACTTGCGTTACAGGTAGGTAGTGTTTGCGTTCTATACGTGTTTACAGGTGTTTTATACCTGTTGTGGATAACTCTTCTGCCAATAAAACCGGCCAAATGTTTTAGGTCGAAAGACAGGTGTTCTGAAGATAACAAAACTACGTTACTCATCAGCTTTGACAGCTGCCAACAGATCACCTGTCCGATCTCTCCGAGCTCAGTTCTACTCTACTCCCGGTGCGGGGGAGTACGAGGGCTTCTGTCGCCAAACATGGTGACTAAAACTGCCACGGGAAGCCGACACGTCTCCAAGGTGGGGGTGGACGAGGCTGGCGACAAAGACAGCCTGTGTAAGAGCGCTGACAATGTCTCGGGACCGGCTAGCTACGGAAGCACCGCGTCCAGCCACTGCTCGCTGGAGTCCACTGCACCTCTGTTGGACACAGGAGCACCCCTGGCGGACACCAGCGCATCCCCGGCGGACCGCGCCGCGCAGCCCACGCCGCTCAGTCGGCACCAGATCAGACTGCTGCTCGGCCTGGCCGCGATCAGCTTTCTGAACGGCTCGATGAGCGGCGTGGTGATGCTGTTCTTCCCGGTGGAGGCGGCCCGGCGCGGCGTCTCTCTCACGGCCATCAGCGGAGCGTTCAGCAGCGCCGCGCTCGGCCAGGTGCTGCTGTACCCGCTGGTCGGCCCGCTGGCGCTGCGGGTCGGCGTCACGCGCCTGTTCAACTGCAGCGCCGCCGCCGCCGGCGTCTCCACGGTGGCGTTCGGCCTGCTCTTCTACATCCGGGACGACACCGGCTTCCTGGCCGCCTGCTACGCCATGCGGATGGTGGAGGCAGTCGGCAGGTCGACGGCCTCCGCCTGCGCCTTCACCATCATCGCCAACCGGCTGTCGCAGCGCGCCAGCTCTGCGGTGGCTCTGATGACGGCCGCCGAGACGGCCGGCCTGACCGTCACGCCGGCGCTCGGCAGCAGTCTGTACGCGCTGGCCGGCTCCGGGCTGCCGTTCTACGTCACCGGCGGCGCGCTGACTCTGATGTCTCTCGTCAATGTCAAACTCATACCGAACGTCGAGAGGGAGGACGACTCTTCTGGCGACCTGCTGTGCAGCGTCCGCGTGTTCGTCAGCTCTCGTGAGAACTGGCTCTGTATGCTGATCGTCTTCAGTTATGCCATGACGCTAATGGTGCTGGCGTCCAGCACGGCGCCGTACGCGGACGCCGCGCTGGGCATCACTCCGGCGACGTTCGGTCTCTACCTGAGCGTGGCGAACGGCGCGCACGTGGCCATCAGCTTCGTGTGGGCGCGGCTGGTCGAGCGGGCCGCCAACCCGTACCCGGTGATGGCGCTCAGCCTGCTGCTGGAGGCGGTCAGCCAGCTGCTGACGCCGCCGGCGCCGTTCCTCGGCCTGCAGCCCAGCTGGTGGCTGTTCGGTCTCGGTCTGACGCTGGTGCAGGCGTCCATAGGAGGCGCGTTCATCCCCTGCTTCGAGCTGATGCTGGCGGGAATGCTGCGCGCCGGTCTCCCTGACGACCTGCGCACGCACGCCCTCACGTCCAGCGTGTTCTGGAGTCTGAACTCGCTGGGGAAGATCGTCGGCTCGCTGCTGGCAGGCCTGCTGATGGACGCCTTTGGCTTCCCGGTGATGATGACGATAGTTGCCGCCGAGACTGGGCTGGTGATGCTCTTGACAGCCGCTCAGGCCGCTCTTAAAGCTCGCCAGTTGACGCGCTCTAAAAAGTAACATTCGCATAATGCTATGTATATTGGGGTGAATATGACGACTTAATACGCCAAAAGATCGTCGTCATTGCTCGAGGGCAAATTCTAGACCTTGTTAATACCCGAAAAGGAGAGCATTAGGTAACTAAAAAGAAACAATCAACGATATAAATATCAACGGATTTGGTACCAATCGACGATATAGGACTTTGGTAACTTGGCGATTTAGGTAACGATTGCCGATAAAAAGAAAAGAAAAACGATTTAACGCTTGAGTGACGTACTTAGCGATCACCGTTTTTTACTACCAAGGTAGGATAGGCAGCGCTAATAATGACACGAAATAATAATAGAAATCGGCATGTCCGTGCATCGTATACTTTCATGTGTGCGTCGGTCACCCGTAAATATGATAGGTGGTACATATGTTATTGTCGCCAACGATTTTCGTCTTTACTAGCCTGAAGGTCCCCGCGTATTATTTATTTCCAGGGCCAATTTGTGCTCTGTGTGCACTGCACTGGCCAGATTATTGTACATATATGTATGTTCATAAGGTTGCATCTTATATAATACATTATATGTCTCCCAGGCGCATGTTACCTCTGTTTAGTGTTTTTTACAAGGGTCAATCTCAGGTCAGATAAGAGAGTTCATTGACCCCCGACTTCCGAGCAATGGCCAGCGCCCGAAACTCCTCGCTTTTGTCGTTTTTGCTTACTCTTTTGGACCTTCCTGTAACTATGTCACCAGAACCCGGGAAGCTGAGTCATAGTTTTACAAACAAACACATCACTCATAAAGAACGCACCATACCATACCCACACTGGCAGGGCACTTGTATCATAAAGTGTTGAAATAAAAAAAGCGTTAAGATTTTTATGTGATGATGACAACTTCTTATCACTTATGCTATGATGACGTATAGCAAACCTATTAAAAAATATATCATGATGCATCCATAATTGTTTTTATGAATTTTTTTCGTAACCTTTTCTTTTATTCGCGCAGAAGCAATTGTCTTGACCTAAACCGGTGTCCATTTGAATCACACCTCACCTCCATCTTCCCTTGTAAGTTTCTGTAGGATGTCTCAAAGAAGATCCTCGTGGATGGCTGAACCAGAATTCAAGTTAACGGAAGCAACGATGCTGAGCTCGTTAAATTGTGGCGATGAGGCAAATAAGCCGCGAAATTCTGGGGAAGGGCATTTTAGCGTCGCTGGGTTGGTAAGGGAAAGGGTGGGTAATTACATGGTTTTCGCTTAATTAGCATGTATGTTATTTCAATAGATATAACTGTCGACTTTCGTTTTAGACAAATTTCATATATACACGTTTTTGACATAATAATCATATTGCACCCTGGGGTTGATGAGCCCAGATTGTAGAAATCTTCTGGCCAATTTTAATTCAAACGCTCTTGAAGAAAAAGGAATTATTTCGAAGAGCATCGATCCTCACTCAGGTAAGTGATAAACAGCAATACCTACACATAAACTGATGCACATCACAGCGTCAAACATAGGTGGCTCAAAGATCACCTGCCTATAAAAAGGTGCGTATTTTACTAGGCTAATAATGCTGATGCCAAAGCCAAGACAAAAGCTGCTTGTAATTAGGTATTATTGATAAATAGACGAAAAGATAAATAAGGTAAACGTTTATGTCAACATTTATCATTTCAGTTTGCTCTACTTTTGAGGGGTCGTTTGTGTCTAACAGCGTGCAGCATGAATACGGATTCCAACGGAGACATAACCATCGACGACTTCCCCGGAAAATGGCCTGATGGAATTACACTTCAAGTAAGAGAAAGGGTGGCGAGAAGGGCGGGAAGCATCGTCTTTCAGTCTCGTAAAGAAAGTTATGATAGTATATATTTAATCGGACCGCCTCCTCGGTATACCAGGTATTATGCACGGAAACCATGAACCGCTTAACTTTATTAAAGGGACCCTCCCACCTTAACATTAGTTTTGAGTTGAGATAGCCAAGTTTGCGGCCAGGCTCAGAAACCACCATTTATCCTGGTCGCAACCCCCGCAGCTTTATGGTGTTCAAGAAATTTCTTCCCTTTACTTGCAGGGTGGGACCAGCGTGGTCCCTATCTCTTAACCATTACGGGAATCTGATGACGTCATCAGGCTTTCGAACGTCCGTTAAATGTTTGACTAAAACGTTTTGTAGCACGCGGTGGTATATGCTGCTTTGCGCGCAACAAATGCCGCACTTTCAAATAAAGTCGCTAGGAACAGCGGAGATCCCAAAAAGTAAACAAAAGTAAAAGTCTAATATCTTGAAAACCGGTGAATATTTTTCGATGAAATTTGGTAGATATTCGTTTTTGCTCTTTCTGAACCGAGCGACATCACTTTCATGCCAATTCATTAACTTTTTTGAAGGTGGGAGGGTCCCTTTAATTTTTCGCTCCATTTCTTTGCGTTACATTTGGAAAATGCTGTGAAAACTATGATTCGGAGTGAGTATAGCATCATAGGCTATAAGAGTGCGTATGACTCTCCCCAATCCACGCGTATGTAGTCATGGGTATGTACGGCTGCCGATGGCCGGCGGCGCGGCGCTGTGCAGAGTTCCCGCAGAGGAGTGATGTCGCCCCGTTGACCGCCCAGTGACGGCTCGGCTGATCGGCCTCGGATCAGGTGCTGGAGTCAGAGCTGGCCGACCGTGCTGAGGACGGGCCGAGCGACGAGGGTGCCACGGACAGCCAGCAGACTCCGAGGACAGCCGGACAGGACAGGCAGGAGGGCGCGGACACGCAGAGACAGAGCGGCCGGCAGGGCAGCAAACGGACTCGGGAGGACGACAACGGGCGGGGTGGTAAACGAACCCGAGAGGAGGACAGCGGACAGGGCAGCCCCACCGGCAGCCGGCAGCTCAGCCAGCACAGCGGGAAGAGGAGCAGAGACGGCGACCCGCCACGGAGCAGAGACAGCGACCCGTCACGGAGCAGGGACAGCGACCCGTCACGGAGCAGAGGCCCGGAGCCAGCGATGACCGTCCGGGTGGACCCCGCTCCCGCGGCGTCCTGTGACCCGACGGCAGACCAGGGGCGACCGGCGGGGGAGGCGCCCAGCCGCGGCGGCAGCGTCACCTGCAGCGAGTGGGGCGAGTTCTGCCGCATCTGCCACGAGAGCGGCGAGAAGTTACCCCTGGTCACCGCCTGCCGCTGCACGGGCTCCATGCAGCACGTCCACAACGTGAGTACACACCTGGGCGCTTGTTGGATCTTATCTATTTGTCGCTCCTGGCGCAGATCAAGCAATGTATTTTGTGTTTTAGTGATTCAGCTTTTAAGCCACCTCTTTTTAACTTCTGACTGCATACGCATGCGTATCCAATCAGCATAAGGGAAAAATACCTGCCTAGCATCAACATGAATCTTTATTGTCACAGGCTGTACAATGTACAGTATGTCTAAAAAGAATGTACCGTCGCCACTACGTGGCGCTGGTGTCGCGAGCCGGTAGTTGGCTGAATCCGCACCAGACCACACATTCCCAAGCGCTAGGTGACAGCTGCCCAGCGGCCGGTAGTAGCGTAAGCCCGAACCTTCGTGACACGACCCCGGGGGGGGGGGGGCGGGGCGGGCGGGGCAGCGCGTATAGGGAGGGGTGCTCCGGCAAGCTGGCAGTTGTCGCGGCCAAAGGTCAAGGGCCAAGGGGTCACACACCAAGCGAACGGACGCTGATGTGGGTTCGTGGGGATCATGAACTTGTGTGTGGTAGGTGCGTCTTGCGATGCACGGGTGATACGCCAGGTCTAAACCAAAGGATTCAGGGAGAGCTGAAGAAAAACACCTGGTCAACTACGGCGAATAATGGTGCTGAAAAGTGGAAAGTATGGGTCAATGCAAGCCTTCATGACTATAAACAACTTTTTTGAGGACGCAAAGGCCAGCATTGAATAACGATATCCGGATCGAAATTAGCAATGATTTATAATTACATGCCGAACTAAGAGCGCTGCAATTCCCTCCTAGTAAATTGTCAAGTCGGATTATACCTGCACTTGAATTAAACTATCCTAAATAAAATTGTTAATTAACTTTCTAACACTGACGTTCTTTATCATACGATAAGTATGGGGTTAACCAAGATTCAGCATCTTCCGCGTTCAAACAATCACCTGTAAGGCTAGAACATTAATGGCCAGGTAAAAACATGGTCGGGATTTGATTAACCGGATAAGAAGTTGATCTTTTTAGTCGGGATTTGATAAGTCGGATTTTTTTACGCCATCCGCATTTTTAAGTCAAGTCAGGTCACTGATCTATGACGTCATAAATGAGCAGTCCTAAAATGAACTATGTGAAACTGTCCAAAACTGTCCTAAAATGAGCATTTTAGGACTGTGTGCACAGTCCTAAAATGTTCCAACTTCGCAACACCCTCAGTGCAGAGCTTTCGTAGGGAGATAAAACTTACAGGATCTTATAGTATGGTCGAGAGGTCTCACAACTTGTATAAATGTATATCTCGGATTTTCTGAAGGGTCGCCTGAGATCAGGTCGGTCTCTCACCCGCATTAAAAGTCAGGTGGAATATGGAAATTGCTAGTTTGGTCCGGAAATGATATACAACTATCTCAAATTCTCAAGCACACGGAATCGTGATTTCATGCGCTCCTTGCAAGGTCTGATGCTTCAAGTTTGCTTTGTTGATCTTGCGTGACGTCATTTATCACGTAATTATGGCTATCAGTTTTTCGTCAATAACTCCCGATCAACTAAAGCTACCGAGTCGACAAAGCCACTAATGGACATGAAAAGACCTGCCGAATCGATTGATATGCAATATGACCTCCTTTGACCAGCTTCGTGACCTGACGGGCTGTGACCTGACCTTGGCCCGAGGTTAACACCTTAACTCTCGCCCGTATTGGTGTTTTTCCAGCCGCAAACGTATAAAGGGGGGTCCGTTGGACCCCCCCCCTTGCCGTTTCGCCCCTGATCGAGCTAGAGCTTCGCGGAAAAAAAAAACGAGCGTGTTGGCCGTGACGAGAGGAAGCCGATGATACCCAATTTTCATAGGTCATCGGCTGACCTTCCAGGTCAGGTCAATGACCCAAAAGTCGGAAAATCGGGACCTGTTAGAAGTCGTAAAGCGTGGCTGCTATGGGGTTTTCGGGGTGCCGATCACGAATATCATGTTAGTTTTGATCACAGATGATGTCTTCATTCATTTAGGCCAGGTTGGGTCAGGTCAGGTCAGGTCAACCAGTAAGGGTATTTGTAGTAGGTGGCAACCGCCTCTGACAGCTTCGCAACATGTTACGAAGGCACCAAAACTACTTCGTAAATGTTCATATGGCTGCTAAATTCGAATTCAGCTCCTAAAACTGGCCCGGAAACATGTAAAACTCGAAAAAGTGAACCGAGGTCATCAAAGGTCAATGACCTGACCTGACTTTCCGGTGACATTGACACCCACCCTAATGCGTGGAAGCAACATCATATCCCATGTTTGAACGCTTAAAACCACGAAAAGACTGCAAACGCGCCGCTAATGCGAGCCGACATACGCCGAAACGCGATTCCGGCTAAACATGGTCTCGAAAAGTAGGTCACAGGTCAAAGGTCATTAAGGTCAGGGTCATGACAATTTCAGGGTGGGTGTAAAATTGATTAACGCGAGGGTACTGAAAGTTTCGTCGCGATCAGCCGCTTTTTACGCGAGTTATTCGTGAAAAACCGAGGGAGGGGGTCCGTTCGACCCCCCCCCCCACCCCCTATACGGGCGAGGGTTAAGTTGATCTCACCCGAAGAAAAACTATACCATTCGACACGCCTGAGCTAGACAAACACGATGCTGCTAAAATCGCGGATCTGCGATCATTTTTAGCGAAGTTATTTACCAAAAACCGAACCTGTGCCTTGGGCCACTTGACCTGACCTCCTAAGTTATCGGCTGACCCTGGTCCTTAAATCGGAGACCAATCGCTGCATTTCGTAACGACGCACACGATCGTTTCTTTCGTGAGGCTCTAGCTCAATTAGGGGCGAATCGGCGAAGGGGGTTGTTTCCTCACTTCCAACCCCCAACGCCCCCTCGGTATTCAGAAAACCTGAAGGTTCGGTGAGGGTTAAAACGTTGCTCCTGGACGAGGAAGAAATGTAAAAGTCAAAGCTCTATAGACGTCCTGTAAAAGTGGCCATAATAATAAATTCGTTAGAAATAAAATGCTTTTTAAACGACTTCCTCATATAAAATCGGGTGCTGGGACCAATCTTATAAACGCTTTAGAATGGACAGGGCGTCACTGGCTAAAGTTTGGGTGCAGAAAACGGCTATTACCTAAATGCAAAATGGTTTTCATGCATTTCAGTCAATTGTATATTGTCGGTCCCAGTGGCCGAGCTGAAAAAAATCGGTAGTGTTTTGCATCTTTTACGCCCTAAGAAACTACACCATCTATCGAAGTGGGCGGACTTATTTGAATGGGAGGGCGCATTATGCACGAATCGTGTGCTTTCGTTTGTTTTGGACTGTATTTTACCACATCCACTGCTGGTATTACTATATTAATATTATCCAATGCCGTGAACACGACAGCATTCCATTTATAAGATTGGGCCAATGGAGTCGCACCCCGCGAGCTCGGTTTTCCGCTGGGCCGCTACAGGCCAGGAAGTCGGTCTTCGCCTGAGGGCAGGACAAAGGTCAGCGAGGGAGCGCGGGGTCAGCCAGGTATCGCCCAGTGCCGAGCGGATGCCGCTCCCTCCCCTCTCTTCCCCTCTTCTCCCCTCCCCACCTCGGTATAGATGGGGAGGGACCGAACTGCCAATGACATGCGAGCGGTCAAGGCCGCTCGCGCAGCAGCGACCCTGGCGGCCGGGTGCCGCAACTGGGATTCAGCCAAGTTACCGATTCGCCTCCTGTGGGAGAGCCAAACCAGGGGACATACTTTTTAGATATACTGTACAGGGAACTTCATGGCGCTTATTTTGCTTGACATTAGCATGAAATATCACTTTATTTTAAAGGCTTCGGTTACTTGAATAAATGAGGAGTCTGAAAATCCAGTTCCAAACATTTTGTGGAGCGTACTGAACTGGACAGGGCGTCCCCGAGCCGTTTTCTGGCGAGACGTGTATTGCGGCGCAGTTTGGTGTACTGCGGTACAGTCTACCTGCCAGACGCCGACAGGCTGACTGAATAGGCTGTGTGTGAGTGTGACAGCTCTAAACAGACTCAAACAATCAATGGCGGGCTGACGAAAGCAGTAGCGCCTTCCTGTCTCATCCCAGCATAAACTTTTGTCATCAAACTTGATGCCAATCCTTTGATTCCTTGTGTCAAAAGATTGATACGGGGATTAGCGGTCGTCTACAACTTTTATGGTCTTAGTTCTGGTAAAACCCAAGTTTTTAACCACTCCTACCGCAAAAGCAACGGGTGGCTGAAGAGGACTCTGTGTATGGATATGCCTCAGCTGCCCGAATCTATGCTTCAGTAATCATTTTGTGTCACTTTATTGATCGTTAAAAAAACGCTTATTTTTTTACAGGAGTGTCTGATTCGCTGGATCCTGAGCTCGTTCAACACCCATTGTGAGATCTGCCTGCACAGATATCGGATAGGCACCACAGGTGAGAACAAGCCCAGTTGCTCACTTTTTATATCCTTACTTTCTATTCATGATTGTTCAATAGTCTAGCTATAGGGCCTTTGCTCTTCGCCATTCCTGGCTTATTTCGATCGATCCACCCATTCAGCACGGTCCCGTGTGTGTGTCTGTGTGTCTGTGTCGGTGTGCCTGTGTGTACTGTGTACGGTGGCGGCAGGGATGCGGATGCCGCACCTCTGGAAGCTGCCGGTGACGGACGGCGTCGAGCGCTACCACATGCTGCTCTGTGTGGTGGCGCTGGTCGTATTGGCCGGCGTCATCTCCTTCCTCATCTATGTCAGCACGGACGAGGGCCGCGAGGCGCGCACCTACCGCAACAGCCCGCTCGGTCAGTGCTGCGCTGCTGAGAAACACTGACAGAGACAAACACACATAGACAAACACCGAGAGACAAACATACAGAGATAAACACCAACAGCCCGCTCGGTCAGTGCCGTCAGCGCCACCGACATGTACCGAGAGACAGAGACAGACAGTGACTGAGACAAACGCCAATAGCCCTTTCGGTCAGTGCCAGCGACAAATAGGTACAGACAGAGACAAGCGCCGATCGACGGCAATAAACAGCCGCAGACAGCGATTAAGTTTTGTTTTTTGCTTAGGTCTTTCTTCCAGCCACAGACTGAACACATACTTTTTGGCGCCACCCGCTCACCGAACGCTTGCACAACTTTGTAAGGGGGGATGTATACTTGTATAGGACCACACAACCTATTGCAAAACACATGACCTTACAAAACCAATTGCAAAATAAGCGACTCTCTTTACAGTGCCAGTTGCAAAACAAGCAATCCTCCTTACAAATCCAATTGCAAAACACGTGACCCTCTTTACAAAACCAATTGCAAAACATGTGACCCTCTTTACAAAACCAGTTGCAAAATAAGTGACCAGTTTCACAGAATCAAATGCAAAACACGCGATCCTTTCAATCCGCGTGACTTAGCATTATCAGTGAGCACTTTCTACATGCAATATGCCTACCTTGTCCCTCTATCACCATCCCTATACTCATCTCTCCCTTTCATCATTTCTTTCCTTAAGAGGAAATTAATCAGTATTAATTAAATAAATCATTGTTAATAATCATTATATCAATTTCCTTAAGGAAATTAATTAATCCTCTCCCCTCCTGATATATACCTGACCTCGTCATCCTGACCCTTGACCTAGTCTTACTGACCTCACAATTATTTTGGCCCATGACCTTGTCCTCCCCAGACCTCTGATTCAGGACTTCGTCCTCTCCTGCCCCTCCCCCTTCCTGACCAGTGACCGTCCTATGGCCGTCCTCCTCCCCTTCTCTGACCGTTCTAAAACCGTGTGCCTCGCTGACTGTCCTCCGACCGTCCTCCTCGCCTTCCATGACTGTCCTCTGACCGTCCTCTGATCGTCCCCTGACCCCTTGAGTGTCCCCCTCTCATCTGATTCCTCCTTCCTTTCGCTGACCGTCATCGGACCGTCCTCCTCCCCCTCTGACCATCTTCTGACTGTCCTCCTGAATCCTCCTCCCTTCCGCTGACCGTCCTCCTCCCTCTCTCTCCCTCTCAGCGCCGGCGCTGTATGCTGTGTACGCCGTGCTGGGACTGGTCTGTCTGGGCCTGGCCACCGCCGAGCTCCACTACACCGTCTGTCCGCTGATCGAGCGGTTCCGGCTGACCAACATGAACCTGCTGGTGGTGCCCTACGACCCGGAGCAGGGCAGTCTCGACTCGCTGGATCGGATCAGCGCCGAGTTCGTCACCGTGTGACCGAGGAGCCGCCGGTGGTGTCATCTATAAACCCGGTGTGGACATGTCGACAGGACGGCGCGCGACAGGTATGGGGCGGACGCTGCTGTCAGACCGGTGTCTAAAAGCTGGCGCTGACCGTCCATTGGTAGCAATAAGCCGGCGGAAGCATGCCTCTGGCGCTGTCCTGACTAAATGAGAGCCTCATATCGGCCACCAAAGACGACCGTCTTTACTGCCACCTCGCTTCCACAGTAGCGCAAGAAGATACGCCGTTCTGTTCTACGGCGGCTCCCACTGTGGTCTACGTACCGATGAAGCACCCGTGACTAGAGTGGGGCCTGCACGACTGACACCATCACATAACATGGCAGCCGCCGGGCGGGTCGAAACGAGGTCAAACATCCACCAATACAATCGGGAAATTCACGCAAGTCGACAGAGAAGCGGAAACGGCTAACTTTTGTGATACGTGGAATGAGCATTGACCAATTAAGGGCTGTTCGTTTATAGAGATACGTGTGAAGGCGACTGTTTTTGTACACTATACATACATGGTCGTAGCGCCTATGATTGGAACAAAATGAAAAAAACATCTAAAAATATATCGGGGATTTGGACTTCTTGATGGTTTGATGCAGATCAATTGGCGTTTTGCCTACTAAAAACCAAACGCACTTTTACTTCTAGACTATTTTCTTTACGGACCATTCATACAATTTTTTTTCTGAATTCTCATTTATATTATGGTGCATTGTATGCGAAAGCAATGGAACACGTTTCTAACTCATCAAATATATTTTGTGCTACTTCTAGCCTCAGCTAAAACATAAACAAATAAATTCCACCGAAAACGTTCCTATAGTCATGATGCAAATTATCGGGCAGCTTATTGATAAAGCAGCCCGAGGGAAAGGAACAAAATGCTTCCACAGTATATCAAATGTTTTTAACTGACATAGAGCTAAATCAAACAGAAACTATCATAGTACACAATTCCTCTAGTCTACTGAAAACATTCTCCAGTCATGTTCCATGTTTGTTCAGTCGGCCGTCTCAGTAAGGCAATATAGACAGGTCATAGTCAACATATTTGTGTCTGGTTTATGAATATTTACATGAAGGAAACTTAAATGCACTTCGAAAACGAAAGCGGTTTAATGCATGAAACTAATTTGTAAACGGCAAGCTTTAGTAAGCCTCACTACCTGTGGATGTTTCATAACTCTCCCAGCCGGTCGGTCTAAGCGTCTCTCATTCCTCGTTCTTGATTTCATCACCGGTTGACTCCGAAGTACCCTCAGGCTCGGCAGCGTCGCTCTCCTGTTCCCCGCCTGACGGCGGAGCGGTGTACTGGGCTGGCTCTGGGGGCTGGTCCTCTGCGCCGGCCACCTCCGCCCCCGGAGAGTCCTCAGCGTCCTCCGGAGCGGCGGACGGCGGTTTTGAGGAACCCTCAGCGGTCTCCTGCTCAGTGTCGGGACTAGTCTGCTCCTGCTGCTCTGACGGCGGAGTCTCAGCGTCCGGCTGTGTGGGCTCCGTCGCCGTCTCCGGGATCGGTGCGATCCCCACTCTTGCTTCTTCGTCCTCTTCATCGGACGAGGATGAGAAGGCGTCCTCTTCCTCTGGGAGGACGGGCTTCTCCGCGTCGTCCACTGGCTCGGGCTCGTTCTCGTGTCGCGCGTAGGCGAGCAGCAGCTGCTGACGCTGCCGGCGCCGGCACAGCAGCATGGAGAGGAAACGGTGCGACAACAGACCCTGACACACGAAGAACACCACACCGGTGGCCGCATTCAGTACCTGGGAACAAACAGACTGGTCAGACGCGGGGCGGCGTGAGGCTGCTCGGGACGGAGCTTTGGAAACGTCCAGGGGATGGAGCTAAACTACCTACTTGCTGACTAATCGTAAAACTTGAATGTGGCAACGCTATAATAGCTAGGTAACTGAACGTCTTAAGCTTATCATAAATGTAAAAACAGGATAATAAGCTGCCAGAGCTCGTTGAGGGAATCCAGAACCAGCAGCAGGTAGAAAACCCCCTCCCTGGCTCTCACCCTGAACAGCGGATAGAAGGAGGGCCAGTCGTCGAGCGCCTCCAGCCGCAGGTAGGCTAGCACGCCCGCCGCCCACGTCACCGCAAAGTACGGCGAGAAGAAGACGTAGCCGTGACACATGCTGGCGTGGTCGATGGCCATGATCTGCTTACGCAGCTGCGGCGTGGACATGTTACAGAGGATAATGCAGGAGCCGATGACGCTGATGAACACGCAGAGCGCCATGGGCGCGAGGAAGATGAGCTTGACGTCCGTCTCCCAGCCCATCATGCACTGCGGGTCGTCTCCGTATCGGTGGATCTCCGTGCCGAGGGCGTATCCCAGCGAGACCAGAGACAGGCCTGGGGACGGCGCCGGGCGCGGCGTCAGGAGAGGATTTCAGCCGGTGAACGCTGTCCGGGGAACTGACGCAGCTAGACAGTCAGGCTGCTAGAGCTGTACGATACAATAACGGGTGATGTCGGAGAGTGAGCTTGTTGAGTGTGATTTAGGCAGTCATAAACCTTATCATGGTATCACGCTCAAGAATGGAGCAATGCAATTGAACTATTTACCACAACTGCGAGTTACCAATAGCCATCCAGTTTTATCATCATGGCCTGAGCGCGTCTCACCGAACGACAGAGCGACGTAGCTGCCCAGCTTGCCACCCACGACGCCGAACGCCAGCGCCCGGAAGCAGGCGTACCCCTCCGACGCCACCATTCCTCCGGCGGCCAGATAGGCGAACTGGATGAACGCGGCCGCAGTGGTGCAGCTGTGGCGACTCTGGCGCACCGTCTCGCGGTCTGACTCCATCATGGCGCAGTGGCCGGCGACCAGCAGCAGGGCGGTCACCATCCGGATCTGGTGGAACATCTCCCACAGAGAGCTGCCGGGAGAGAAGACCACGGAATTAGGTGACGACACGAGCGGCAATGAGTCTCATCAAAGTAGTAAGTTACATACTGGATGATAAGGAGACCGTCCAACTCCGTATCTGAGAGAGGAACATGTCAATGAATGAATGCATGTCTTCTTATCAGGTATCCAAGTGTTAAGATGACTGAAGAACACCCATCTTATTTCCATGACTTACTCATTCTTCCATACGATGAAGGCGTACAACAGAAGGAGAATAATTGATATCGCGCTCAGCATGTCTTTGAATAGCTTCAGCCACTCACTGTCGATCTCGACTATCTTCGGCTCATCCTGGTGGGGGAAATAACAAACAAGTGAAACGTCTTCCAAGATCTCAACCTTCTGAACTCGCAACAGTAGCTATACGGAACAGAAAGAAACATCATGCGAAATGATAATAGAAATGTCGAGGACCCCTTTTAGCCGAGTTTTACGAAAGACGCGATAAAGATATCCACAAAACCACAATCTACGTCGATTTCTCATCTTGATCTAAGCTGTCTTAGTCTGAACGACCTTCAAACTCCTCCAGTTTAGCGTCTCCATCACCTTTTCGGCGACGACGGCGTACTGTCCGATGACCTTGCAGGCGCACTTGGTGAAGAAGTCGTTGGTCTCGAGCACCACGCAGCCCGTGGCGTCCCACTGGCCTCGGCCGTCCAGTGCATCGGCGTTCCACCATACACAGTGGCGACGGAACACCTGGGCAGACACAAACACCATGCGTTAGATGCACGCTTGAAGACGCTCATACAATAAATTCACTCACAGGCAATGTATAATCACTCAATAATCAGCCCAGTGCATCCACAAACGTCCACAGTCGTCAGATTTTTACAGTCCCAGAACCCTCAAAGTCCACAGTCCACTCCATAGTCCACAGTCTGCTCCACACTCCACAGTCCACACTCCACAGCCCACCCTCCCGACTCACATCACTGACGATCTCGTTCTCGTGGAAGAGCGGCCCCCGGAGCGCCGGTTTGGGCTGTCGGTGCCGGTGGGCGGTCCGGACGGGAGACCGGCGCAGGTCGTCGATGGTCGGCAGACACTCGTCGGTGGGCTGCTGGTTTCGCGTGGCCATCAGACGCAGTGACAGCACGGCGCCGTCAATGTCCAGGTACTGGGCCTGCTTGGTCTTGAACTCTCTGAGAGCGGCCACACGGCGAGGGTGAGGCGGCGGCACATTATATGGGCGGTAGGGGAAATGAATGAAGTATAGCGGGACGAAGATAATTTTGTGTGCGAGCATTACGTATTTAACATGACATATAACGGCAAAGTACAATAAGGGCGTGCTTAGTTGATACGCTCAGGAGTTACAACAAATGTGTAATTAGGAGTTACATAATCATAAATGTTCACTATAAATGTAACAACACAAACCTAACAACTTTAATCTGCATACATAATCATCGACAATGCAATGCAACCGATGTCGCTCATAGTGAATTCAATAAACAACTGCGTCACATGAAGCCTTCAATTACAAGTACCGCCGCGCTGATGCGACTGGAGCCCGTTACACTCGACACGACACCAGTGCAACACACTGCGGGCCGTCCGGGGCATCTCACCTGCGCAGGAAGCGTTTGGGCGTGACGTCCCCGTAGTTGTCGTACGTGCTGAAGACGGTGCTGATCAGGGCGTCCTCACAGCCAGACTTACGGAACACCACCGTCGGCACTGGCCGGGCAGAGGTCAGAGGTCAGGGGTGGGGGCAGAGGTTAGGGGTGAGGGCAGGGGTCAGGGGTGGTGACTGGTGACAGAGGTTCGGGGAAGGTCAGGGGTAGGGGCAGAGGTCAAAGGTGGGAGTAGAGCTCAGAGGTGTGAGCAGAGGCCAGAGATGGGGGCAGAGGTCAGAGGTCAAGTTAGATAAGTCAAATAAGAGGTCAAGGCTAGTTCAAAGTTCAGATGATCATGACAAAGGTCAAGTTAAAGATGAGTTTAAAGGATGGATCAGCGTTTAAATAAAATTTTAACGCATTAAATGCTTTATAAGCAAGACAGAACCGGTCTGCAAGAAATCAACGAAATGACCCACGGGCTTGCGAGTCGCCAGGCCACTCGTTGCCACTGTGGATTTCGCGTGAATCGCGTTGAGCGATTACTATGGGCATTATCACTTATTGGCTATTGCATCGCTTATGACCTCCCATATACTCTAAATTGCTGTATTTGAGGACAAGCTTTTGATATGCCTTTTCCCGGAAAACCTTCCCTGCCAGCTCCCTATAATCACCGCCCCGCGGTCTCACTCTGAATGCTGTCGAGCCGGCGCGGGTTGTCGCTGGGAAGCGGCGCCATCTGCTCCTGCCGCAGGCTGTCCACGCTCCGCTGCTCGATGTACATGTCCACGTTGGCGGAGGGTTTGTGGACGAACATGTCGACTAGAGAGCCGTTCACCACCTTCGGCACCATGCTGGTCACCGAGGACAGCGCGTACATCTCCAGACGGTCAATCATGTCCGACGACTCTGACGGAGTAGAAAAGAAACGGACGGCGATTTATTATAGCTCTAACCTTTTACAAAATAAACTTAACGCCAGATCTAAAAGGCAGTCTAAGCATAAAGAAGCGGTGAGAATTAGGTGATGGTGAGTGGTTAAAAGAGCACAATACTAAAACATCGTATGGTTGAGAGACGTACATACATTTCATATCGACAAGCAACATACCGCCATCTAGTTGGACTTCCTCCTTCAGGATCTTCTGCTCGCGTTCCTTTTTGTTATTCTGTAGCTCGATTCCCTTCCATTTATTGTGGTGCTTATTTTCGAGAAGTTGAGAAGCCAAGTTCACCAAGTTCTGGGGGGGGGGGGGGGGGATGGAGAGGCAAGATTAGAATCAAAAGTAATGCCGTCATTGAAAGAGTAGTAAGTTGGTGAAAGGCATCGTCCAGAACTTATGTAATAGTGCAGTGATTTTCAAGATTAAGTCATGTGACATCAACGAAGAAACACAACGTAACCCCAATTGAGATAGTATCAACTGTAAGGGAAATTGGCTCAGCCTCATATCTTTTTTTTTTTGCTGGAGACATAATGTTAGAACCAGCTACAGCACCCTACTGCTCGGTAAACGTAACCATATCCACAGCGGCGCGAAGGCGACGGCGACGTACCATGAAGGTGTTGAGCTCCTGTTCGGTCTGGTTGGGCTTCACCACCTCCGGAGCCGTCATGGTGAATAGCAGGTCGGCCAGCACGTGCATCTTGGAGATCTGGCCCTGGGTGGCCAGCCGCAGCGCAGCCCTCGCTGCAGGGGCGCGCAGGGTGTGATACAGTGAAGTTATGGTGCGGGCTTACCACATATAGTTTTGGAATGAGGGAGCCATTTCTGAGACATTAGCTGTGCGTTTTTTTTTAGGCTCAGCGATACGGTTCATCACACACACGCTCGATTTTTAAATTTTGAGATTATCGCTATTCATTGCTATCAGTAGGCATAAGGTTTCCGGTTGCAGAGAACCTACCATCTTCATCCTCCTCCTCTTCTTCCTCCTCTTCTTCCTCATCTTCTTCCTCTTGCTCCGGCTTTTTCAGCGAGCTGAGCGGATTGTCGATGGACTTCTCCGGATTATCGACCATCTTGCTGGCGATCGACACAGCCACCGACTGCTGATCTGGATCGGTGAGGTCCACTCCGCGCAGAATATCGGCGAAAACCTCGGCGGACATGCCGGCGTAGTCCTCCTCTGTGGCGACGGAGGCGAAAACGAGTCAGTAACGGAAAGTCAGAACCCCGAGGGACTTAGAAACAACCGGCAAAGTCCCTCTCTGACTGAATACCAGCACAGGTTCTGTGTCACTTATTAGATAATCAGTGGGAGAGCAGAAGCCGCCCTAAGGAAATACCGTCAGATCCCACCTACCCAGTCCTCCGATAAAGAAGATGGTCTCGTTGGTGAGAAGAGCTCTCTTCCAGAGCGCTATCTCGTCAAACTCGCAAGGACAGAAGTGACTGTAGTCCGAGTCAGCGGAGGTCTTGTGACAGCCCACCTGTCAGCGGGACGAATCAGAGTGTCAACAGTCATAAGACGTCCTGTGCCTGACAGGTGACACATGTGGAGTCATTTGGATACTGACAGTGACAGGCATTACGCCACACTACTCAATGGACGATGCATCTGATTACTGAGCTATATCCACAACGGCGCGGTATCTTTTTAGCTCGGACATCTCTCTGATTCTCTCGGTATACACCCGAGTGGGATATCTGCATTTCGCATTCTGTATTACGATAGGAAATCAGATTATTCGGATATCAGTCGAGCCAGAAAGCTATCATGACCGCAATCCTTTTGCACTTTGCCACCACCATTAACTCGGAATTTCTATTTAGCGCTATCATCATAAATGTTAGAGATTCCTTTCAGCACTCTCCCCACAAACTCGGCGTTCCCCCAGTTCACTCTCACCATGAACTCTGGCGGGTCGAGCGGCGGCTGCGCTGTGGTGTTGGGTGTCTGTCCGTGGATTACCATAGCCGCCGGCTGCTGGTTAATGTACAGCTGGAGGCCGGTAAACTCCTGTTCAGAGCCGTTCTGGGCTGGCGGCCTCCAGCGCACACCTGGAGAGGGCACAGGTCACCGGAGGTCAGCGCAGGTCACCAGGGGGTCATCGCGGGTCATATAAGGTCACTAAAGTAACCTACATAGAGGTCACACCAGCGCACAGGTCAGTAAAGATTGACCAAGGCTCAGCTAAAAGTTAAAACCGTCACAGATCAACACCACACGGTCAGTGATCGCTACGAGATAAATGCGAACTTAAAACAGCTTACACGTATAATCGATATGATCAATGTTTACTCTGCCCAAATTGTCTGACTCATCATGTCACAATAAAATTAGGAACTCGTCTAACCGATGTTGTTCCAGGTGTTGTTCGGTAGAAGTCCGATCGTCTCGACGCGCCAGAATTTGTTGCCGGTCGACACCAGGGCCCCGAGGACCATTCCCTGTAGGTAGATGGCAATACCGGGCGACGCCTCATCTCCGCCTGCGAATCAGCAAGGATTACCGTGTCGAACCGTCTAGACACCACCGATTATGCGCAAAACCTTATTCCCGCTAGAAAAGAAATCATTTACACATACATGCACAGTGCCTAAATTCTTTTGTCATTGATTGAGACTCTCTTCACACATATATAATTTGTGATGCTTTCATCTTAAGTCATGCTACATTTAAAATTACAGCAGTAACATAAAAACACCAGTTTACCAGTTTGAGCATGTCTTTCAAAACAGATTTAAGCGCGACCTCGTATGGAGCCCTGTCACCTCACAGCTCTGTACCGTTTCCCCTGTAAGCGATGCACGGCAGCGTCCCACCTGTGCTGACGAGATAGCGGTAGGGCAGACCCTCACGCGGCGTAAACGCGTCCGAGTCGAAGCTGCACCGGTGCCACAGACTGAACGAGATGCCGTTGGCGCAGGTGGACGGATCGTGCACGCACGTGTCGCCCTCTCTCATGAAGCTCGCATGGCGCATGCACTGCCGATTGGGGAATGAGCAATTTAAGTTCATAGCTGATGATTGACAATGTAAGCTAACAATTATAATTTTATGGTGCTGATAAATTAACATTAGCTCACACCTTAACGACCCTCCCTCTGGCCTCTACACGATAGAGTGGCCCACTCACCGAGTCTCCGGGCAGTGTGACCGAGGACCGGAACCCGAACGGTCCGTTGCCGAGGTCGAACCCTCCTCCGGCGGGCACCACGGACGTGTTGTGTTCGATGGTCCCCCAGTAGTAGTCAGTCGTCACCGGGTACCGCACGTCTGAGGGACAAATCAAAAGTGGTTTTAATTTTGTGATGATGATTTGCGTGAAAAAGTCGTTAACAAATGACACCAAAAACGAAGGTAAATTTTATCCTTAAGGACACAATGAACATAATAAATCACAGTCATCGTCATTAAACGGTCGACGGTACCATTCCGACCTCTGACCGATTATTAGTGACCACTGGCAACATTAACGACTAATGGCAGTGCTAACGAATTGTAACTTATGTTTAATAGTGGTAACTAATAACTTATGATATAAGTTACCATTTATTGATAATAAACTAACTATGTAATGGTAACGTACCGACCGGCGGCGGCGGTGGAAGCACGATGCCGTCGTACGGGATCGTACCTGAAACACACACTACACCCGCTCGCAGAGTTAGACTCTGCCTGTGTCGGATGTGAGCGAATAAAGATGGTAACAACATGACACACGAATACAGCGAGACTACATATAGGACGGGGTTGGAAGGTGAGAGAGTGAGCGCTGGAGCGTGAGCCGGGTGAGGTATTGGTGAGAAGATGATGTGAGCTTCATTCATCCCATTCATACCGACATAACTTCACACAAAGTTCACAGACACAGTGTGTCACAGACACGTTAGTCATGACACAATGTCAATGACAAATCAGTTTGTCATTAGAAACAGGTATGTCAATTTTTCCATCACAGAAGTGATGGCCATCTGTCATGGCTGAGGCTCAGCCTATGATTCTCGGTTGACCGGTGGGCTCTTCGACGGACGATACATCAGCGCCGAGACGTAAAAAAGCCGCAGCAATGCGATGAAAGCGCCGCTGAAGTCCAGCCGATACCCGAAACTTGGCATCCCATGAAGCCGTCGTAAATCCTTCTGTGGACACTTGGGAGGCTTTGGGGCATCGACTTCCACCATAGGTCAATAGTGGATTTAAATAATAGCATTAGCTAGCGCCGGTTGTTGTATTAGAATTAAAAAAAAAATGTTTCTTTTAGCGCTCATATGCATCAGTTTAACCCTCGCCCTGGCAGGGGGGGGGGGGTCGATGCGACCCCCCCCTAAGGTTTTTCGAAGATAGCGTAAAAACGGCGGCGCGCAGCGCCGCCAAATTTGGCACAGCCTATGGGGCAATCTTTTTACATATGACCTGAAAATTTCAGGTCTGGGTGACCTTGGGTCAGGTCACCAGGTCAGAAAAACCGGTACAAGGTCATGGTCAAATTTCAATTTTCTTTTTGCACCTGTCCAACTCACAGTTTTGGACTGATTTCCCTCAAACTTTCAGGATGTGCTAAGTTCACCGAGTTGTATAACATATAGTTCGGGTTTTTTTAGGTCACTGACCTGAGGTCAGTTAGAGGTCATTAGGTCGTAATGTTAAGCCTATGGGAAAATACTAAATTCGGAAAATACTGGAGATATCCGCTTCGTTCTATCACTTTTGTGCTTTGAAACCACAGTAATTAACAGCAGGTCACTTGGTGCTTCTTTGTTTGATGTACTTATCCATGGGTCAGGTCAAATGAGGACAACTGAGGTCAAATGACGTTTTTGCCAATAACTTGGCACATAATGACGCTAGAGCTTAAAAAATGGTATCATTGTGTTCCTGGTGATCAGCCGAATGGAATGATATGCGATATGATGCAATTTGGTTAACTTTAACTTAATTTATTAATTTAAGTTTACTTAAAATTTAAGAAAAACTTTAAGTACACTTCAGCAAGCTAAAAAGTATATCATTCGACGCGCCTTGACGTGCTGAGTTCACTGGTGCTTTTCTTTTTGCTCTATCTTAATTAGATCAAAAGTTATAAGCGAAAAACTTTTGACCTGTTTTTAGCGAAATTTTTACATTTATACCCCCCAAAACCCCCCTAAATATTGACCTAGAGCAACCAAATTTGCACAGGGGCGAGAACTCCAGGGGGCCCACCTACCTACCAAATTTGGTGTTTCTAAGTGCCATAGGAGCCAATCGCGAGGGGGGGGGGTCGCATCGACCCCCCCCTGCCAGGCCGTGTTATGAAAAATGCCCTGCCAGGGCGAGGGTTAAATGATCCGACAAATAATTATATTACGTAGTCAAGGGGAATGGGTGAAATATGTGCTAAATTAGTTTAGTTTGTGTTGTATTCTGTTGATACGTATTAGCGCTAAAATTACTTACCTCTAAATCCTACTTACCGCATAGCCACAGACCAGAAGCGTGTCGAGTGTCGATTCCAGTCCCTCCACTCCTCCTTCGCCGCCTCCTAGCGCAGTCTCACCAGTCGGTCTACTGAGGGTGACTGTCCCGGTCCCCTCCGTCCAGCCCCGAACTGTTTTCTGGAAAACCCGGACAACAGACACACCAGACCCGTGCCGATGGTGCCAAACACGACGAGCCTTCCCATGGCGATCGACGACGGCGTACAATATGCAGATGAAATGCGTTATTTATCGGCATGTGACCGGACGTGCCGACACGGCCTGTCCACGGTCCACTGGCTTTTACAAAGTTTTGTTATTAACTTCATTGCTACAGTCAGCAAATATAATTTTGAGATTGTTTGCGTGATGTTCCGATCGAAAATCTATGCATGAAAAACGATTTCATTTGTAAACGGATTTTGGAGGTGCGAGCTATCGAAGGGAAGTGACTTAGAGAAACGAGTGAGATAAATTTTAGGGAAACGAACTACGCAGCTATAATGATCTAGCACGTGCGTTAGGGAATTGATAAGCCAGTGGAAATAGGTAGGTACTATTCAGTGAAAGCTTGCTAACTACCTGCTCTACACCCCGTTTCTTTCGTGCGTTCAGTCTGTGGCCTAAGGACGTGTCGCTGGTCGTTGTGCGAGTGTGTGATTCCAGATATCGATACTCCCACGCTGCCGCTGTTTTGGATACGACCCAACGGTAAACAGCACGTCGCCATGATCACAACTAAATCGAACAGAACCTACATCGCCACCGGAACTGCGCATACCACCTCCGGGTACCTTCATCACAGCTATGAGTTACGTAATACCAAACTCAGACGTCTGTTTACGTAAATTCCAAACGCGACTGAATAAATAAAATGGGAGATCGGTCACCTCATGAACCCTTGGACTGAATTTCATGATCATTTACAAACATGCACGATTGCACACTTCGAAATTTTCAGAAGAGTGATCGATTGTAGCTAGGTAGGTAAATCGGTGCATGGGTGGGTAAACACTAAACGCGAACAAACATTTATCAAAACGGCCGTTCAACCAGCAAAAGAAACCTTGCTTATTGATGCATAAGAATCAATCATTGGAATATGCATCAGATATGCTAACACAGAAAACATAACCAAAAAGAAAGCGGCTACGGACCGTGCGGGCCAGTATAACTGCAGGCGTCATACTACTAGCGACATCTCTCGGCAGGATTCCGAGAAGTAATCAGCCATGCGGCACAGCGTCACTCTAGGCGCAATACTACTAGCGACATCTATTGTCTGAGATACGAAACTATAGTGTCTTGCGGCGCAGCATGCCACCAGGCGCTATACTACTAGTGACATCTATAGGCAGTAATGCAAGCTTGCGGTTTTGCGGCACAGTATAGCTTCAGGCGTCATACTGCTAGTGACATCTGTTGTGCCCTCGGGGTGGGGGAGGTTTGGACAAACCTGCGTCCGCCTCACTTGCGGTTTATTCCCCCACACACACAACAGAAAAACACATGGCACTATCTCGGCCAAGGTCAAGAACGGAAGAGCTCTAGAGGTGACTCGACACCTCTTCGTCCTTACGACCCAAAACAGTTGGCAATCATAAAGAGAGGGGGTGAACAGGTTATGCGAAATAAAGGATCGAAACTGAACAAAGCCATTTCGAACCAAACATATTACTAACTAAGTGTCGATCGTAATATAAAATCATAATCACCGCAACGACCAACACTATCAACAAAGGCGTAAAACTCAAACGATAATTGCGCGTCCGCGCCAATCGGCTGCGCGGTCAGCGCCACTAAATTAGTTCTCGCCACAACACCACCCCTCTCTTTAATGGGAAACACTCCCGCTTCTTAAGCCTCCCACTATCCGCGGAAACCATTACACTCACAGCTATCAAACGTAACTTACGATGATAGCCCAATCCTAAACGCTACTCGCCCGGAGTGAACCGATCTGGGCCTCTGCGACCCCGCCTGCTACGGCGGGGCCCTGGCTCACCCGCCGGGGCGGTACACTTTGGGGTTGGACAGCGGCTGTGAGCAGGACTTCTGAGTGCCGAGGAGCGGGTGCGCACTGGCGTGGGGCGGGGCTCAGGAACTGGATAAGCACCACCGCCGGGACCACCCCGCGGCGCGGCCGCGTCCTCACCTTCTGGCCGGCCGGGCACCAAGCGTCTAGCGTGGACACGCTCGCCGCTGGTGAGCCGGTAACTTACCGGGCCAGTCCTCCGGCTGATCTGCACGGCCCTCTGGCCCTCCACACGTCCACTCACCGGCTGTCGGACCCGAACCCAGTCGCCGACGCGCCAGCGCGGGGCGCCGGTCGACCCCCGGTCATATCTGGCTTTGTAGGCCGCCTGATACTTTTCGTGTCGCGCACGAAGCTCACCGCCGGTGTCCGGCGAGGAAACCTCACCTGGCACGACGTCCAGCAACGTCCGTGCCTCCCGCCCCCGCATCAGCCGGAACGGCGTCTCTCCCGTACCTGCGTGCGGGGTAGCCCGGTACTCAGTGAGGAACCGCCTCAAGTACTCCGAGCGCGGCTCCCGGGCCAGCCGGGCCGACTGGATGGCGTCTTTTACCGTCCGATTCAGACGCTCCACCATGCCGCAGGACTGCGGAGAGTATGGTGAGCTGAAAGTCTGCTTGACCCCCAGTCGGGTCAAAAAATTACGGAGTTGGGCAGACCGGAACGCTGGACCGTTGTCGGAGACCAGCTCCAACGGCAACCCCTCGCGGCTGAACACCGCCTCCAGGAAGCTGATTATAGACGCCGCCGTCGCGTCCCGACACAGCGCCACCTCTGGCCACCTGCTGAACATGTCGCACAAGACGATGCCGTACCGCTCGTGCTGGGGCCCCTGCATGGGCCCAATCACATCGATCATGAGGCGCTGCCACGGACCGTCCGGAAGAGGAATCGGCTGGAGAGGGGGCCGCTCCTGCCGCACGTGGCCGTCATGCTGCGTGCACACCTCACAGCTCCGCAGGAGGTCACGTACCTCCTTGTCCAGCCGCGGCCACCAGAACTGCGCGCGCAGGCGCTGCTTGGTCCTTGTCTCACCTTGGTGACCCTCGTGGGCGTTCCTCAGGACGCGCTCACGCAGCGCCGCCGGCACAACCAGTCGCTCGCCGCGGAAAAGCAGCGGTCCGAGCTGGGACAGTTCGTCTCTCACCTGGTAAAAACCAGTCGCCCGAGGATCGACATCCCTCTGGCGAGGCCACCGTCCGGCGAGGTACCCCCGGATCACGTCCAGACACTCGTCTGACGCCGAGGCGTCCCGCAGCTCCTCCTCCGTGACTGCTGCTGCTAACGACAGAGCCGCGATCTGGATAGAATCATCATCAGGCCACCAGGTCTCGGCGACCGGCAGACGGGACAGGCCGTCCGCCACTCCGTTCCGCTCCGACCTGACGTACTCGACGTCGAACGCAAACTCCAGCAGCCGGGCCTCCCACCTCGCGACTCGCCGGCCGACGCGGTTGGAGCCCTTGACACCGAAAATGGTGCAGAGAGCTTGGTGATCGGTTCGGAGGGTGAATCGCCGACCCCACAGGTAGTGGCGAAACTTCTCGACGGCCCATACACATGCCAGCGCCTCCTTCTCCACTACCGAGTAGTTGCGTTCGGCCGCCGAGAAAGACTTCGAGGCGTACGCAATGACCCTGGGCTGACCCGAGGCGTCCATTTGCGTCACGCACGCACCGCAGCCGACGTCACTGGCGTCAGTGGAGAGCACCGTTCGTAGCTCCGTGCTGAACATGCACAGTGCTGGTGCTTCGCTTATCGCGTCCTTGACGCGGCGGACCGCGCTGGACAGCGCCGCCGTCCACTCGAACTGGTCCGCCCGGAGCGCGGCCCTCAGCGGCTCTACTGCGTCCGAGAACCGCGGCAGAAACCGCGCATGGTACCCTACGGCACCGAGGAATGCGCGCAGGCTCTTTTCGTCCCGCGGCTCGGCCGCCTCCAATAACGGCCTGATCCGCTCCCGGTCGATGCGGACACCAGCTGACGAGACCAGATATCCCAGAAAGGAGAGCTCGCTCTGATTCGTCACGCTCTTGGGCCAGTTGACCCGCACCTTGTGGGCATCGAAACGCCGCAGCACTTCCCTCAGACGGGCGTCGTGCTCGGCCTGGGACGGCGCGTGGACCAGGATGTCGTCCAGGTATACCTCCACGCCTGGCACCCCCTCCAGCATGGACGCCATCACTCTCTGGAAGCACGGCCCGGCGCTCGCGAGGCCGAAGTTGACGCGCCGGAACCGGTAGAGTCCCTGATGACTTATAAAAGTCGTTAGGTCTCTGCTGTCAGGATGGAGCTCCAGCTGGTGATATGCATCCTTTAAGTCCAGCCTGGAAAAGACCTGAGACCCACTCAGGCGGTCAAGGACATCTTCGATCCTGGGGAGCGGGTAGCCATCCGTAATCACAGCTTTGTTGACCCGCCTCATGTCTACACACAGGCGGATGGACCTATCCCGCTTCCTTCCCACCACAAGAGGAGAGACCCAGGTAGATGCACTGACCTTCTCAATTATCCCTTGCTCCTCCAGCTCCTTGAGCCTGGCACTCACCTCGTCCAGCACTGCCAAGGGCAGCCTCCGCAGGGGCTGGCGCACTGGCGCCACCCCTGGGTCGATGGTCACCCGGTGTTGGTAGCCCAGGATGGCTGGCTGCTCTCCTGACGGAGAAACAGGTCCAGTCGGAGAGGCAGGTCCGGACGGTGAGGCAGGTTGACCGGCGTGAGGGCTGGCAGGTTCGGCTGGCCCGACGGGCGAAGGGACTGGGCTGGCATGACAGGACGGGTCTGTGGACACAGAGCATACACTGTCACCAATGATGCACACTTTGAACAGTTTCATCATGTCCAGGCCCATCAGAGCACGACCATGCGGCACAACATACACAGTTACATCATGACACTCCCCCCTGCATGACACATTTACACTTTTTACCCCTAACACATCTAACACACTCCCCCCATATGAGCACAGGCGCTCTGCTGCTGGCTCAAGGGCCCCAGGTGCCAGGTGTCTGGGGAGGAGGGACACTGGGGAGCCAGAGTCTACCGTGAACACGACCTCCCTCCCCTCCACCTGGGCTGTCAGAGTCATTGGTGATGCCCCGATTGCCAGCACTTGAACACTGGACACCACTCGCTTCTGGACACAGTGCTGGGCAAAGTGATTCACTTTCCCACATTTGGAGCACTTCACATTGACAGCAGGGCAACACTGGTCCCCTCGCCTGTGTCCAGCACGCCCGCACCCCCAGCACAGGCTACTGCTACTCCCTGCCGGCCTCTGCTGCTGAGGCTGTTGCTGATGAGTGGAGACCCGACCAGCAGCACGGGTCCTGGCCCCACCACGCTGAGGCCGCCGACGCTGCTGCTGCTGCTGCTGGACAGCCTGAACAGGGACTGGAGCAGCTGGTGTCTCCATCACCCGAGCCTCACGTTCAGCCGACTCAAGTGTGTCACTGATGGTGAGGGTGCGCTCCAAAGTCAGGTCAGAGCCCTCCATAAGAAGTCGCTGTCGCAACTTGGAAGAGTTAGTACGCTCGATGACCTGGTCCCTTATGAACTCGTCGGTTCTGTCACCATATTCACAGGAGCTGGCCAGCTGGCGCAGTATCGACACCCACTGCTCAGTAGGCGGAACTATGGTCATGAGTACCCAAATATAGGAACGTTCCCATTTTTGGGAACGGAGTTCCCAAATATGGGAACGGGCGTTCCCATTTATGAGAACGGAAGGCAATTTTTCGGCCGTTCGCCCACTAAAACTCAAAAGTGCATCACGTCTCAAAAAAGTGCACGCTGATTTAAGTATCTACTAAATCTCCATAATGTTATCTTTAATTTGACCGTGGAACAAGGAAATTGACCGTGGAATGATATTTTTAATGATTTTTTAAAAATGACAGAATGGTGGAAATATGGGTTATACGACATTTAACATGCAATTTTAAGGAAAATGAAGCATTTTTTACATTTTGAGGTCAAGTATAATAATTTTCGCCTGGTTATTAAGTTTCATTCTAGCGACACCAGATGCTGACATATGCAAGCGAACACGCGGACAGTCCCGAGGTAATATTGTTGACTTTTGGTGTCGGGTCGATCGACCGCGTGGAACGTCAGTGATTTTACCGAACTACTGTTGTAAACTCAGTTTCAGTGGTTTAAAATCATTCAGCTGTATTTTATCAGCCCTGAAAGACATATTTTATTTGGATGCTAGCTGTTTAGCGTTGTTTTATAAGCAGCGTCATGAGCGTGGTTTTTGTCTTCGGCGTTTCTAAGCATGATCGTTTGGGGGGAATTTCTCTGATATAGGTCGCTCTGTGTGGCTTATTTATAATTTTTATGCTGATTTCGATCATACCTCGTGCCCATCCTACCAGGCCTTTTGCCACTTACACTCATGAAGAAAGGAAAAAACTAGATTATCATTGGGACTAGGTGTTTTGAGGGTGTAACATATTCAGCGTTCCCATTTTTGGATACTTCTTGTGCTCGTCAACTCTCGGTGATTAGCAGACAGGTGCTTGACATGTCTCCACCCTCGGCGCGGACGGTGGATATAGGTATGGAAGACCTTGTTGAACATCGCTGAGCGTTGTGGATTACGTAATCCTGCAGAGGGGGGCGTGCCCGCTGCGAGATCGACGGGAATAAAAGCGCAGAAGACCGGGCGAAACATGCAACGGTCTTGCCGGAAAGGTCATCTGATGATTGTTGCGTTAACAATAATTTGCGGCGTTGGACGTGATGCTTGTTAATGAAAAGAGCCCCTGAAAGGCGTCGGTGAAATCGTTCCCAATTTTGGGTACGCCGTTCCCATAATAAGGAACGCTTGCAGCGCCAGTGTACGAGAGCGTTCCCAAATTTGGGCTCGCGGCCCGGGTGATGGACTGCTTTAGAAATAGGGTAACGATTTGAAACTACGATGGGCCTTACAATATCAAACTCTTTCCCAACAATATTGAGACAACTATCAGGCGGTTCACGATCGTTTTATATTTTTTGACGTCATTTAACAGTTCTGTTTCTTGTTTTAAATAATGCCTACATGGCGTTCCCATATTTGGGTTTATCGTTCCCAAACATGGGAACGAAAATGCGTTCCCGAAAATGGGTACGCTTGACCATAGTTCCGCCTACTGTGCTGGACTGTTTCCTCAGTTTGCTGCACCCGGCTCCTGAAACGGTAACGCTCCACACACACGTTCTGGCGAGGAGCGAACTGGGCCTCCAGGCGCCGCCTGGTGAAGGCGTACTGGTCCTCGCCTTCCTGCTTGACAGCAGCTGGGAGGGACTCGAAAATTCGCTGCCCCTCCGCCCCCAGGCACGTGAGAAGGATGGCCTCCTTGCGCGCAGCTGAAAATGAGCCGCCGCCCACGGCCACCAGGAAGTTATCGAACATCCTTATCCACCGCGGCCAGGCCGTACCGGGCTCGGCGCCGGCCGCCGGCAAAAACGGCGCAGGGGCCACCGAAAAATCCATGGCCGACAGTTATCACGGCCGCGTAAAAACTTACGCCTCGTCGCCACTTGTTGTGCCCTCGGGGTGGGGGAGGTTTGGACAAACCTGCGTCCGCCTCACTTGCGGTTTATTCCCCCACACACACAACAGAAAAACACATGGCACTATCTCGGCCAAGGTCAAGAACGGAAGAGCTCTAGAGGTGACTCGACACCTCTTCGTCCTTACGACCCAAAACAGTTGGCAATCATAAAGAGAGGGGGTGAACAGGTTATGCGAAATAAAGGATCGAAACTGAACAAAGCCATTTCGAACCAAACATATTACTAACTAAGTGTCGATCGTAATATAAAATCATAATCACCGCAACGACCAACACTATCAACAAAGGCGTAAAACTCAAACGATAATTGCGCGTCCGCGCCAATCGGCTGCGCGGTCAGCGCCACTAAATTAGTTCTCGCCACAACAACATCTATGTACAGGAAACTAAGCACTACGTCCTGCGGCACAGCATGCCTTCAGGCGTAACACTCCTAATGACATCTATGGGCAGAAATGGAAATAGCAGGAGGCTATCCGGCACAGTATAACTTCAGGCGTAATTCTCGCGGCATCCGGTTCTAGACAATTGCTGGCTATACGTAATGCCTAGTACAATAATGAACGTAAATCCGGAGTGATTAAATTCTCTTTTGTTCAATAGAGACCTGACAATGATATGACCCAATCGTAGGTTCGGGCACATTCTATGGGTCACCCGTTTATATTATAACAAATCGTTTCGGCCATTTCAGCTGGCTCAGCGGACAAATAGATCAGGCCGGGCCCAGACAAAAAATAGTAATACCCGTCTGGTGAGGTTGACGATTAAGTGCGCATACCATCGACAAGATATGCGGAAATGCATTAATGATTTGTTACAAAAAAACTATAAATTTGCGGTTTACGTAAGCCAATCCGTGACTGAATATGGACTGATGGCTACCTACGCATCAATGCATAATTTGATGCACATTTAATTCAACTCACATCAATGTCATACAAACACACAAAACGATTTAAACTTTTCTAGGAAACATCTTGTATTATTCCAATGACCACGCTTTGTTTGACATGAAATAACACACGTGACTGACAGACTGAAACGCATGCTTGGGGCGGACAGCTGCCCCGCACACAGCAGTGCTATAGAACGGCACGTGACAACTGACAACTGACCCTCCCTGCCCCCCCCCCCGAACCGACCTCTGAGCTCAGAGAACGGTTTCCATGATCGCCTCTTCGTCACCATGAAAGCAGGACGATCGCACCCGGTCAACAACATCCATCCAACATCTCCACCGTCGAGCAGTCGACTGTGCTGACAGCTCTAGGCACCCCAGCGACCCTTTCACGATCATGCCAGCGTGCATTCGCGCTAGCGGCGGACTCTCACCGGCCAGCGCCGGACTCGGCGCCTCCCCGACCGTCAGCGTCAGACCACCGCGCCGTCCCAGCCGGCTGAAACCGTCAGCGCCGTATTCCCGGCTGTCCGCGGCTCACCGCTCAGCAGTCGGTGGCCTTGAAGTGGTCGTCGTCGGTGGTGTTGTAGATGTGTCCCTCGTTGCTGAGGAACTCCATGATGCGGTCGATCTCGGGCCGCGGCACCTTGCCCGTCAGCGAGCCGTACACCTGGTCGCGGTGCACGCCCTGGTCGCCCACCGCCGCGTGGATCGCCGAGTAGACCATCTGCTGCTGCGGGCTGAGACCCACGATCCCGCCGCCGGTCACCATCGGTACGTCGGCGCCGCCGCCGCCTCCCACCATCGAGTTGGTCAGCCCGGTGCCGCCGCCGCCGCCGTTGGCAGCGCCTCCGCCGGCCGACAGCGCGGCCACGTGCGCGATGGTGAGCGCCGCGTGCTGCACCTCCAGCCGGTGGATCAGCTCCTCCTCGGGCGTCACCGCCTCCAGGTGGAAGCACATGATGTTGGTCGAGCCGGCGCCGCCCTTGCTGGGGCCGGGCCGCACGCGCACCACCATCCGCACCAGCATGCCCTCGGCCAGGTCCGAGTCCGGCTCGGGGCCAGCCTCGGCGTCGATCCAGCGCAGCGCCGTCAGAGTGCCCGTCTCGTCGGCCAGGGTGTAGGAGACCTTGGTGCCGCCGCGGTCGATGGTCTCCAGCCGACCCACCAACACTGCCATGTGTACCTCAGCACCGGACACCCGCAGCGGCTGGTCCTGGGGCGTGGCCAGCACTGTGGCCACAGCCACAGGCACTACTGACTGGATACGATCCTGGCGCTTCTCTGTGGAGCCAGCACTGGGTGAGCCAAACTGGCCGGGTGACTGCATGAACCCGCCACCCTGGGCTGGCTTCTCGGTACTACTCCACATGGTCAGCAGCGGGAAACAGCCTAGAACGAGAGCAGATTAGGTACATGTAATATCATATTCATACTAGCCATGGGTATTAAAATGGGCAGGGCAGGAAGAAATTGAAAATAAAAAACATGGTTTATCTGAATGGCAAGGTTGAGGGACGCCGGTGAAAACAGGGCGCCGGAGGGCATATTAGTCACATGACATTTGGAGCTTCTCCCCCCTCCAAGGGCCTTCAGGATGCTAAATGTCACATGTGAATTTCACGAACCTTGATCAAATCGCCCCAGGCGCCCTGTTTTCACCGTCGTCCAGATTGAGATAATGGCACACAGCAGTCCTGGAAAAAAGGAGGAGCACACCACCCTTATTTTTTTAAATAAATTTAGTCCAAACCTTTTGATAGGAAGGATTCACAAGGACAGAACCACCGCTAAGCGAAGCTTGTTGCGGTGACCCTGCCCTCTACCCTCCGATCGCGCAATTCCGGATCTATGGCAGAATTTAGAGTCCAAAGTTTAACGTGCGCACATAGCCGCGCACGGCCGGTCCCTTCACTGACTTCGCCTGGCTACGGCCTGCCACCAACCGCAGCCATACCTGTCAGGAGGCCCATAAATGTCGAGCGCCCGTCGCGCTTCGAACCCGGACTGTTATAACCGGGAACGCGTGCTCTCACCACGCGGAGTCCAACGCTCTACCAACTGAGCTACGGGACCGGCTACGGGACCTTAATGAGCTAGGACCTAAAAGAAAACACTGTTGGGGTGCCATATGACTATGAAATGGTAGAATATGAAAAAGCTTTCAAGATGAAAAGCATCCGGCATACAGGCCCACTCAATACGGTCCGTGACACCGTAATTCAAATTGCATAGCAATAGCCAGATCAGTAGGCGGAACTATGGTCATGAGTACCCAAATATAGGAACGTTCCCATTTTTGGGAACGGAGTTCCCAAATATGGGAACGGGCGTTCCCATTTATGAGAACGGAAGGCAATTTTTCGGCCGTTCTCCCACTAAAACTCAAAAGTGCATCACGTCTCAAAAAAGTGCACGCTGATTTAAGTATCTACTAAATCTCCATAAAGCTATCTTTAATCTGACCGTGGAACAAGGAAATTGACCGTGGAATGATATTTTTAATGATTTTTTGAAAATGACAGAATGGTGGAAATATGGGTTATACGACATTTAACATGCAATTTTAAGGAAAATGAAGCATTTTTTAGTTTGAGGTAAAGTATAATAATTTTCGCCTGGTTATGAACTTTCATACTATCGACACCAGATGCTGACAAATGCAAGCGAAGACGCGGACGGTCCCGAGGTAATATTGTTGACTTTTGTGTCGGGGCGGACGACCGCGTGGAACGTGAGTGAATTTACCGAGCTACTGTTGTAAACTCAGTTTAAGCGGTTGAAAATTATCCAGCTGTATTATATCTTCCCGGAAAGACATATTTTATTTGGATGCTAGCTGTTTAGAGTTGTTTTATAAGGAGCGTCATGAGCGTGGTTTTTGTCTTCCGTGTTTCTAAGCGTGATCGTTTTGGGGGAATTTCTCTTATATAGCTCGCTCTGTGTGGCTTATTTATAATTTTTATGCTGATTTCGATAATTCCTCGTGCCCATCCTACCAGGCCTTTTGCCACTTACACTCATCAAGAAAGGAAAAAACTAGATTTTCATTGGGACTAGGTGTTTTGAGGGTGTAACATATTCAGCGTTCCCATTTTTGGATACTTCCTTGTACTCGTCAACTATCGGTGATAAACAGACAGGTGCTTGACATGTCTCCACCCTCAGCGCGGACGGTGGATATAGGTATGGAAGACCTTGTTGAACATCGCTGAGCGTTGTGAATTACGTAATCCTGCAGAGGGGGGTGTGCCCGCTGCGAGATCGACGGGAATAAAAGCGCAGAAGACCGGGCGAAACATGCGACGGTCTTGCCGGAAAGGTCATCTGATGATTGTTGCGTTAACAATAATTTGCGGCGTTGGACGTGATGCTTGTTAATGAAAAGAGTCCCTGAAAGGCGTCAGTGAAATCGTTCCCAATTTTGGGTACGCCGTTCCCATAATAAGGAACGCTTGCAGCGCCAGTGTACGAGAGCGTTCCCAAATTTGGGCTCGCGGCCCGGATGATGGACTGCTTTAGAAATAGGGGAACGATTTGAAACTACGATGGGCCTTACAATATCAAACTCTTTCCCAACAATATTGAGACAAATATCAGGCGGTTCACGATCGTTTTATATTTTTTGGACGTCATTTAACGGTTCTTTTTCTTGTTTTAAATAATGCCTACATGGCGTTCCCATATTTGGGTTTATCGTTCCCAAACATGGGAACGAAAATGCGTTCCCGAAAATGGGTACGCTTGACCATAGTTCCGCCTACTGAGATCTGCAAAATTAAATGGTTGAATTCTAGTTCAAGCTCCCAATGATGATAAATACTCACCACCAATGTATAAATGAGTTAATGAGGTAATACCGTACTGTTGGCCGCAACAGGACAAAATTCACAAATCAAAATATTTCTGCGACAAGAGACAACACGCAATCAACACGCAATGTCCAATCCCGCCAAAAGAGATAGAGGGATTTTGCTTCCATATGAAGTGTTTTATGCATAGCTGCATGAAATGCACCTTTCTTCTTATTTTTAACACAATGAAAAATGGTTGAATCAAAAGTTGGAAGAAGGGAAAGATACCTTTTGTTTTATATTAATGGAAAAATAATAAAAATGTTTGGATGAATAATGCTTATTTATTTCTGAAGTCGAAATTTCGTAGGGAAAAGTTCCGACTAGGGAATTTATCTAATATGGCAGCTAATCGTCAAGAGAGCGTTTGCTACGCGCTTGCGACATGATAAATGAGCATTCCTGTGTCGAAAAATTACAAAGCCTGCGAAAGTTGGTGGGAGGTTGAGGTGTTTCAGTTTTGAGGTGGGTGATTGGTGAAGGTATAATTTGCATGTATTCTAATTTACTATTTTAATTTTTAAGTTAGTGTTCGTATATGCTAACTAGTAACCATTGCTGGTGAATGTTACAATAAGATGTTTCACGGTTCACCTAGTCTGAGTCGCTACTCGCAGTTGCCATGGATAACTAACAGTACCTAATCCATGCAGTTGCTAAGGTGCTCACTCAGGATGCTTTGATTTTATTTCAATTTGGTATGGCTGAATGGATGATCCATGAGTCACTCACTCTCTGAGTGACCAACACAAGGTTTGTCATTTTATGTATGCTGAGGTTCTACACAGCTATGCATACCTAAGGGCCCAGGCAGTTTGGCGTAACTTTGATAACATGCTGCTGGTTTTTCTGTTCATCTTGATCTGATTAGTTTGTCAGCATTTCCTTCCTGTCATTGGTGATCCTGATCCTTTCATCATACTTGACTTACACTAAATGGGAGCCAGAAATTGAAATGCTCGCAGGCTGGCAGCAAGCTCAGAAAAATAGAACTAATAGAAGCAATAGTGCCCCAGTGTTTTTCTTTGTCACAGAAACTCTTACTGTGATGCTGAAAAGCAATTTATATAAACTAAGTCCTAATTATCAAATGCAGTCAAATGGATAAAGTCAAAGTGCCCATTGCCTTTCAATGATAATGAAGTTGCTGTGATTGAATACTGCTTCTTGTGACCTACCTTAATATTCCTGGCAGAATGATTTGTAATAATCATTGTCATTAAGTGGGACTTAAGGTCATTTTATAAAGTTTTACTCATGTTGATAAATTAATGTCATAGTCATTATTAGCAGTCAGTCTCAGTCAGTCTCAGTCTGATACCCTAGTTGGAAATAGCTTGATTTAGCCTCTGAATTGACAATGATGGTCACTGCTTCCTGTACTAAACTGTTTTCTAGGTTTTTTTACATAATATGCTGTGTTTTTTATTTAATTTTGAGCCCAGAGTGCAAAAATGGTTTTCACTGAATGGTGATATAACGGTGCTAGCTTTGGTTGGTGGTAGGGTAGCATGGACAGGTGCAGTCATTGTCATTGTGTTGGATCATGCACTGCACTGTCAAAATAGATACCCAAGACAGATGCTCAGCTCTCAGCTACACAGTGGACAAGACTGACTGTGGCTGTATGCAAAATCCACATCATATGATGTGGATTTTGTTGGTATGTGAATTGGTATCTTTTATCCTGTCTCAGTCTCCTAATTTTTATATTGTCAAATCAGATACCTGGAACTTCCAATGCTATGTTTGAGGTCAGAGGAAGCACAATAACCTCCAGATGACTTCAGCTGTCTTCATCAACTGATCCATTCAAAGGCTACAAAAAGTTGCTGGCACAAACTCAACTCTCATCATAAAACCAGATTGCCTAAGCATTTCGAAAATCAGTGCCTAATGATTTCCCAAGGCAACAACCATTCCACACTGAAATACCAGTATAACGCCTTGTGGGGCGACTAACGGAGCGAGCGAGAGGGTGGGCCTTGCACGTGCGAAATTGCGAGGGGGTACCTCCAACTGACTTGTGCACGGCACCCTACTAACTGGTCTCTAGCGATGTGCCAAATTTGGGCACAATCGGCCCAGCCGTTCTCGAGATCTGGAAGCGGCACCCTGCACGTGCGCACGTGCTAAATGGGTCCCAACTGACTTGTGCACGGCACCCTACTAACCGGTCCCTAACCGTGTACCAAATTTGAGCGCAATCGGTCCAGCCGTTCTCGAGATCTGGAAACGACCCCTGCACGTGCGCACGTGCAGCAGCACCCCAACTCTGGCACATGTATATGCAGTGCCTAGTGGGTGCCTACCTACATGCCAACTTTCAGCGCAATCGGCCAAGTAGTTACCGAGATATTGCAACAATTACAAAAGTGACACCTCTTCGTTTTGCACGTGGCACGTGCATAAGGGGTCACCCACATGCATCGGGAATAGTCCAATACTTGGTAGAAGGAATGAAGCTACCCTACAAAAATTACCGCGTGTAAATCGGTCAAGTGGTTGCTGAGATATAAGCCTCGCAAAAGCGTGACCACGGCCGGCCGGCCGCTCATACTCAGAAATTTCCGTTAATCTAAGGAAAGACTACGCTCGCTTCGCTCGCTCCGTAATCATCCTTCAATCCTTATGTGCTAAGCCACTGTATTCCTTTGTATCGACAGGTATCACTTTGGAAGCAAATCTCAAACATGAATTTCATGAACATTCGCGATGGTCAGTACACAATGACCATATACCAGAAGATCCGGGACGGTCAGTACAAGGAGTCCGTTCAGATGTTGACTGCCATTCTGGACACGTACCCGACGTCTCGCGCGGCGCTGTCGCTGCTCGGCTACTGCCACTTCTACCAGCAGGAGTTTGACGCGGCGGCCGAGTACTACGGCCGGCTGGTGCAGCTGTTCCCAGAGTACGAGGACTACCGGCTGTACTACTCGCAGGCGCTCTACCAGGCGTGCCGCTATGAGGAGGCCATGAAGGAGACCAGTCAGATCGACAACCCCGAGTACGCGGCGCGGGTGACCAAGCTGCAGGCGGCCATCAAGTACGGCCAGGAGGACCTGGCCGGTGCCAAGAGCATGGTGGAGCAGTGTCCGTCGGACGACCCGGACACCACCATCAACCACGCCTGCCTGCTCTTCAAGGACGAGCGCTACGACGAGGCGTGCAGCAAGTTCACGCACGCCCAGCAGGTGGTGGGCTACATGCCGCACCTGTCCTACAACATCGCCCTCTGCCACTACAAGCTGAAGCACTACGCGCCGGCGCTGAAGGCGATCGCGGACATCATCCAGCAGGGGATCCAGCAGTACCCCGAGCTGAGTGTCGGGATGACCACAGAGGGTCTGGAGGTGCGCAGCGTCGGCAACACGCTCACCCTGCACGAGACCGCGCTGGTGGAGGCCTTCAACCTCAAGGCGGCCGTCGAGTACCAGCTGAAAAACTTTGATTCGGCGCGGGAGGCACTCACAGACATGCCTCCCAGACTCGAAGAAGAGCTGGACGCCGTCACGCTCCACAACCAGGCCATCATGAACATGGATGAGAAGGCGTCGGACGGCTTCCAGAAGCTGCAGTACCTGCTCATGCAGAACCCATTCCCTCCGGAGACGTTCGGCAACCTGCTGCTGCTCTACTGCAAGTACGAGTACTACGACCTGGCCGCAGACGTTTTGGCGGAGAACGCTGACCTCACCTACCGCTACCTGACGCCGTACCTGTACGACTTCCTGGACGCCGTCATCACCGAGCAGACCTCCATCGAGGAGGCGTACAGAAAGTTCGACGAGATCAGCACCAAGCACACGGAACAGCTGCGGAAGCTGACCAAACAGGTGCAGGACGCGCGGGCCAAACAGGACGAAGCGTCCATCAAGCGCGCGCTTAACGAGTATGAAGAGTCGCTCGAGCGCTACATCCCAGTACTGATGGCGCAGGCCAAGATCTACTGGGACCTGGAGAACTACCCCCAGGTGGAGAAGATTTTCCGCAAGTCGGTCGAGTTCTGCTCAGACTCGGACGTCTGGAAACTGAACGTGGCGCACGTCCTCTTCATGCAGGAGAACAAGTTCAAAGAGGCGACCGGCTTCTACGAGCCGATCGTGAAGAAGCACTACGACAACATCCTGGACGTGTCGGCGATCGTGCTGGCCAACCTGTGCGTCTCCTACATCATGACCTCGCAGAACGAGGAAGCCGAGGAACTGATGCGGAAAATTGAGAAAGAGGAGGAATCTCTAGCATTTGAAGATCCCGAGAAGAAGATATTCCACCTGTGTATTGTGAATCTGGTCATTGGCACGCTGTACTGTGGCAAAGGTAACTACGAGTTCGGTATCTCTCGCGTGATCAAGTCGCTGGAACCGTACCAGAAGAAGCTGGGCACGGACACCTGGTACTACGCCAAGCGCTGCTTCCTCAGTTTGTTCGAGATGCTCGCCAAGAACATGATCACGGTGAACGACAAGACGCTGGACGAGTGCATCCAGTTCCTGGAGAACTGCGAGGCCTTCGGCAAGAATATCAAGACGACGATCGAGGCGCCTCTGGCGGAGACGAACCTGCACCCGGGAAAGAACACCGTCACCTACGAGTCGCGGCTGCTGCGCGCGCTCTTCATGGAGTACATGATGAACTGAGACGCTGAACTGGAGAGATGGGCGAGTGATGGATCTGATTCGTGTTTGTTTCGCGGTCGCACATTTATTTTTGTTTGTGATTCGTCCCACTGTGAAACAACCTCTCCCCCTATACTTTATGTGTGGTACTGAGCTTCTTCCATTTTGTTCATTGTCCGATTCACTGTCATTCACTTTACTTGTTTATAATCTAGTCAGGCAGAATTATGTCGGTGGCCCATCGCTGTGGAGATGGTGGATCGTGGTCCAATGATACGCACATTCCGTCCAGAGACGCTGTGCCGCGTTGAGAAGCTGAGTCTCAACTCTCACTCCTTGTCACTTCATTCGTTGATCTCGATACGATCTCAATGTCAATTTGCACGTATCTACAGCGCGCACAAAGCTGCCATCGATATGCTAGTCTTCAATGTTGTTAATCGCCTCGTTTGTTTAAAATATCGAAAAATAAAATGCACAAACACTGGCATAACTATGAACACCGTCTATTTGTTCATGGTGAAAGTAACAGCTTTGGAGGCAGTGGTTAGAATAACACGACGAAGTTGCTTTACGACGAAGCTGTGTAGTGCTGCTGCGCTAGGTCATTGGTCATCCGTCCTCTATCGTACATATTCACACGCTCATCTAGGTGTTACTGCGAATAGAGCCGACACTGAAGATGTTCATGCGTATGATGAATGTCTTGTAGCACTGCACTTATCTTTTTTCTATTTCTTTTCACAGGTATTCAAGATTTAAAAAGCATATTTCTCTTAAGTTCGTTTATTTTGCCATTTACCGGTAAGTGTTTTAATGAAACTGAATGATTTTCTTTTTCCTTTTGTTAATTGTTTGGCTATTTTGCATTTTTGCTTTAGTTGTCTTTTTAATTTGTTGATATACCGCGACATTTTATTTGGTTTTAAAGTACCTTATTTTTAGATTAAGTTGCCTTTTTGCTGCACTTCGATCACGCTTTCTTTGCCTTCCAGGGAATGCATCATTAGAGAAACGAGAGGCACACAGTTCTTCTGCATATCAAAGGTGAGTCCCTGGGGCTTACATCTTTCGCACTATTTTGTTTTTGCTCGTGATCTGACCATATATTGCTTTGTTTAGTAGAGCAAATGATCAGTGATAATGCTTTGGTGTTACGTTCCTCGGGCGGCGCTCGCTTTTTGTTAACCCACGAGCCGCTGGGGGGGGGGGGGGGCATAAAGTTGCCCCCCTTTACGTTTTGTGAAATATCTCCGAAACCTGATGAGCTACGAACGTGAAACTTGGCATAGCTTCAAATGAATACCTAGGCAATGTTTAAGGAAAGGTTGGTGGTTGTAGCAACTAAGATGACGTCACAGTGACGTCATAAAGTTTTGTCGTTTTCCGATATGGACCGTTTCTGATGACGCTGAGCATGAAACTCAACTATAAATGAACTAGACAGCACCTGCTGTCATCCTAAAACATCTAACTACACTTCCATCTAGTTTCTGACCAATAATCGACCCTTTATATTCGGTCCCATGTATCTGATGTATCGTGAGGAATATGAGAGTCGCAAATCTATAATTTCACTTATGACGTCACTGTGACGTCATTTCAAATGGGATCGACACCAAATTTGGACACAACCTCGGCTAGGTATTCAGGAAGATGTGTGCAAAGTTTCGCTTCTCTATCTCTTCGCGTTGCGCCGATATCGTCGCAGAAGTAAAGGGGGGGGCAACTATATGCCCCCCCCCCCCCAGCGGCCGGCGGGTGGCGCGGAGGCCCAGCGGCCGCCGGGTTAAAATGCCGAAGTACCGTTAAATTCTTTCATTTATTTGTACTCACCACTGCTGGTCACGCTAAGATACATTTTCATAACACGTTACAAACGACAGATTCATGGACGCACAGTTTCTCTGCCCGCTGACCCCCTGGGCCCTGCCCGAACTCCGCTCCTCCGTGACGGGCCGAGGGCTCACGCTCCGCCGCGTCGCAGCGCCTCGGTGGCGTCCACGAACTCTGCCAGGTCGAAGGTGCCGTCTCCGTCGTGGTCGGCGTGCTGGATGGCGTAGCGCACGTGCTCGGCGTCGGCTAGGTTGAGCGCCTCCGCCACCTGGTCGGCCTGGGCCTCTGTCAGGTGACCGTCCCCGTCCGCGTCGGCCGACTGGAAACTGAGCGGCACCAGCTCCGGCGGCGCCGGGTGGCTGGCGGCGCTCACAAAGTCCGTCTCCGAGACGGCGCCGTCGCCGTCCCGGTCGAGCGCGTCGAACTCGATGCGGAACTGGTCGTCGGTGAAGTTGGGCTGGCTGGGCCGCCAGAGCGGCAGGAACTCTGCCAGGGTGATGCGGCCGTCCCCGTTCGAGTCCAGCTGGCCCAGCATGGCCTGGAAGACGCCGCGCAGCGACGTTTCGTCGACGGGCAGCGGCTGCGCCACGCACAGTGTCCCCACCTGTGGGACGGACGCAGAGTTAGATGGACGGGACGAGTCTGAGGGCTGTGTAGCTATCACAGGAACACTGCATCCTTTTGTAAGATTTTATTAACGTGGAAAGTGAACGGAACGGTTAGCGCTTCAACGTGGGGTTGATTAGGTATATTAGTAGGATGCTTTGAGTTTTCTAAACTGCACACAGTCTTCCTGCCCAAACCAGTAACCACATCAATCGAATTCCCTATAAGTGGTAGGTAGCATATAGAGCCATGTCTACTAAACAAAAACAATGCACATGGTAGAACCGTTTTCACTCACCAGGACAACGGTGGCGATGAACTTCAGCATGTTGGCGGTGTGGGGGCTCGGTGACCGGCTGCTGCTCTCAGGGCGCACAGCAGAGGCTGGCTGATGAATACGGAACGAGCGACGGAACCGACTTTTATACGGCTGCTGTGCTGATGATCCGGCAGGGGCGACTCCAGGCACTAGTCTGGGGAGGGCTGGCTGACCTTGCGACCTATCTTCTCTGATATTAGCCTGTGAGAGAAAAGGCGTATTTCTGCTCGAATCAGCGAGTGCTGTTCAAAGATAGGTTTTCCCACCATCAGCGCTTCCTTGTGCCGCCACTGCTGCAGCTGAGCCGGTCCAGAGGTGATGACGTCACAGGATGGTGAGTGTTGTGGCCGTGACGTCACACATTCAGCACTCGGCAGCCGGCAGGACCCGACACGAATCTGCCGTGGCGGGCCGCGACTGGAGAGGGGGGGGGGGGCGCCGACACCACCGATGTGGTGCCACTCATTAGCCACTTTCGGGACAACTGTCACTGGTTCACTGTGACTTCCATTTTTAGAAGCAAACGTCCCGAAAGACAAGTGTATCATGAATTGAGAGTGGGTCACCACGCAAAGTGGTGATCCGATCGTAACATCGAAATGGGGAGTCTGCTACTCTACTTCCCTTCCCTTGTCTAACTCGGGTCCTGGGTCGTAAGTGGAAAGCAGCTCTCGAATAATCTTCGGAACACAGAGAGCAATAAATTAACTCTGTATGTTATCGCTGAGGTTAGGTTACCACATGAAGATCCAAGGAATCATCAAATTTTACATTTTCCTGGGTTTTACGGTTTTGACAAATTGGCGTACCTACGATAGCTCTTTTTTGCTCTCTACTTGGACCTCAGATATGGCCTGAGATCAAATGTTGGGCTTCCAGGGGCAGAAGGGTAAAAGGGACGTTCTGGCTTACATTGTTCTGGCATACATTCTGGCTTAAATTGGCTTACATACCTACGATAGCTCTTTTTTGCTTGCTACTTTGACCTCAGATATGGCCTGAGATCAAATGTTGGGCTTCCAGGGGCAGAAGGGTAAAAGGGACGTTTTAACCCGCGCACCGACGGGGGTCTGCGCCAACTTAGTACCGACGGGGGGGCGGATGACCGCCCCCCCCCCCTGAGATCTCGAGAACGAAGCAAGATAGCGACAAGCGGTAAACGGCATCGGATACGCACGGTCAAGATCTACAATTTTTACTAAGGTCATTTTCAGGTCAGGTCAAAGATGGGGCATTCCAGGACGATTCAACAGGTGCATAACACCCGACCCCCTCAGATTTGCTTCTAAATTGCTGTACAGGGTTATTCTGTGCCCAGAAGCCGAATCTGAAATTGTCAGACCCGTAGAAGCAACAGTTTTTGAGTTATAGCATTGGGAAATTTTGGAAAGTTAAAAAACATCATTGTATTTTAGTAGCTATATCTCTTCGAAAACTTTTATTAAACTATAAAAATTATACATATTTGAACTCGCCATATCACAAGCTTTCTGATGGTATGCAAAAAATTTCAAAATTTTGAATTTTTAATTTTCCGAAAATTGTTCAAAAATTTATTTCAAATTTTTCAAAGTGTGGCCAGTTAAATAAAATTTATTTTTTTAGCTTTTATTAATGCTTAGGGTATTGGGAAACTATATTGTGAAAATTGGAGATAGGTATTTTTTATAAATATTTTATTTTATTTTTTTTACTTTCTCCATGTAAATATACCATTTTGCTTTGATATGGTGCCGACGGTGCTATCTCGGGAACGGATGATCGTAGCGCGCCGGACGAGGCGGCAATGGAAAGATCTCAACGAGATGGATCTAGACATTGTCCGAATGTTGTTCTTAAAGGTCACGGGTCAGGTCAAGGTCAGGTCAAAGACCAAAATTCCAGGTTCTCATTCCCCGGCTGCTCCTGAGGCACTTTCATAATGAAGAAGCGATGTGAAAATCGCACAGCATGCGTCCAACATATTTATAAAGGCGGTGAATCAGTAAATATGCAATCTCAAGGTGAGGTCAAGGTCAAAATCAGGTCACGAAAGGTCATGATGAATAAACAGGGATTAGGGACATGCGACACATGTTTTATGGGTTATTTTCCGATTCCAATTCAATGGTGATGGGCATTTGACCATTCGGGACCAAATCAGGTCAGATTAGGCCAATGCCAAGGTCAATGTGTAAAGTTGCTGTTTCTATGTCGGCATTAAAATACCTACCTAATAAAATTGTATGATATATGGCTATACTAGAGTAATGAGTGAAATGAAATGAATAATTTTTACATTTGTCTCCGTTTCCAAATTTCCATTTGGCCCATCCCGAAACCTATCGCTATATCATCTGCGTCTGTGACAGACCAGTCACTGCGAGCTCAGCTCGCTCGAATGAGCCTTAGCGCGGTGACAGACGACGCGCCGGTCCATGCGGTCAAAACAGCACAATAAAATCATCGGGTGCCATAAACGCATAGGGTGACGTTGGTCGCTGGTCACAGCTGCGCGGGCCAGTTGCGGGATGGGGACTCCAGTCTTCCGAAAGTCACCGCATGCGACAGTGCGTGTGAACCGTTCGTGCTTGGAAATGTCACCACGTGCAGCAAGACGAGGAGTGGGAGAGGAATCCTCCACGACGAGGAGTGTGTGACCATGGACCATATGTATAAACAGTGGGTTAGCACCGACCGATGTGAGCTTTTTGATGTGCGGAAGGACTGGGATGATTTCATTCACGATCTATCTGTATCAGTGGTGAAGCTCACCAACCATCACTATGTAGCAATCCGACAGAGTAGGGCATTTAAGGAGTGTAAAGAAAGTGTTGTGGAGGGAGAGGCCGTTGTCGTTGGGGACTTCAGTGAGAACTATACGTTCGTCATACAGGATGAGGTGCAGAGTCATCACTGGGACGCGCCACAGTGCACCGTTCACCCGTTCGTGGTGTACTGGAGGGAGAATGGAGAGGGACAGCACCAGAGCTTCTGCATTATCTCAGATAATCTAAAGCACAACACGACCGCTGTCCATGCTTTCCAAAAGGCTCTGATTCCACGACTGAAGGAAAAAATTCGGTCTTTGACTAAAATCAGATACTTTTCAGACGGGTCAGCAGCACAGTACAAAAACCGCTTCAACTTTTCAAATACCTGCGCTCACAAAAGTGACTTTGGGATAGACTGCGATTGGCACTTTTTTGCCACCTCGCACGGGAAGCGTATTCGCCAATTGTATTACACGAATCGGCCGACCAATAGCGTGCCTCCTGAGTGACGTCAGCGTGGCGTCATACTTTCGGTCCTCGCCCTTGGTGGCGTCTATTGAAGCTAGGTTTTAAATTAGTGACATTTAAGCTATTTGGAACATGTTGACGCCGTGGCGAAGTAGTTAGAGTATCGGACTGGTGATTCAGAGGTAGGTGGTTCGAATCCACTCGGCGACTTCGATTTTCGTGTCATCTGTCATTGTGCGTTTTTTATACATTTGCAACGGCGTGCACCTAAGAAATCAGACGTAGGCATTCTTCTAATGAATATGTTGCATAAGATAGATATTTGCAGTCCAACCGATTGGTTCGGTTTCGGTATTTTCCAATGGTCTTTGTTTGTATTTGGTTTGGTAGCGGTGTTCTGATTTTCTGTGATTGACATCACTAATACATAGTGCATACTGCATACTATGCGAACGTAGCCAATGGAAAGACAAATGGTGCTGGGCGATGGCCATTCATTGATCAATATTTCTCGCTGCTAATGGGTGATAGCACGCAGCATTGACAGGGGCGGCGCTGACCTTTTGAAAGTAGGTGGGCACCTGGCAAGGTAAAGTACCTAAAAGTAGCGAAAACTAAGATGAAAAGTAAAAATCGCACGCTGGTAAGCATAGCTTTTCGTGTAAGAATCACCATGCACAAAAAAGTTCGGCATAGCTGTTAGCGTAATCACGGGACGAGATTATCAGTTTCCAGCCGTCAGAGCGTCATCTATAGGAGCTATGCCCTAACTATAACTCTTACATTTCAGCCGCCAGGGGGATACCTAAGTCCCCTTACTTTGAATCTAGTTAAAGTCAAAAGATTTATATTAGAGCTTTATGAAGATAACTTGGGACTGGTTGTTTAGTTGCATGCTCACGGCGGGCTGTTATCAATTTATCTCTATACATGTCTTATCTGATCGATGAAATAATACAGGAATCCGTTGTCATTCGAGTGAATTTCATAATAGCTCTTCCGACTTTGACGAATATCGACAGTGCCGTAACAAAATTGGTAGTTCAGGTATAGACTGCAACTGCAGTTCTTTTGCAACTTATTCCTTAATCAGATTAATACTTGTCAGAGATTTATTGGGCGTACGATATTGGCGTGCGAACGTAGGGGCCAAAAATGCGCGTCTACGACCGACTTCTTTTTAAGAGAAAAGAACCGCTAAAGCAAGAATCCATCCACCGACCTCTCGTCCACCACACCGAGACTCTAACCACTCGGCTACTGCGACACATACAAGTTTGATAGCCATATACAATTTCAAAAAAGTCTCAACTCAAATCTAGCCTCAATGCATGCATTGTCGCGGCGGATGGCTATGACGTCGCACTAGAGATGTCGCTAGTTGATGGGCCGATTCGTGTAATACAATTGGCGAATACGCGCACGGGAAAGGCGCATGTGACGGCGTGGGAGGCACCGTGAAGAGAGCGACCGCTCTCGAGAGTCTACGCAGGCCCACAAGGGAGGAAATCACAAACGCGACCGAAATGTTTGAGTTTTTAAGTGACAAATTAGAGACTACAGTGAACTTTATATTCGTGTCGAGGGTCGAAGTCGAAAAAGCTGCAGAACACCTCAAGGAGCGTTTCAGCAAAGCGGTGGCAGTGAAAGGCACGCAGAGTCTGCACTGCTTTATTCCGGCCAACCACGAGACACTGCGAGTCTCAAAGTTGTCAGGGGGACCAGGCCGGCTGGTGAAAGTGCACCGCAGTATGGCACCGAAAAGACGAAAGTGAGCCCGCGTAGACTTGCTAGCACCCCTGCCGTGTGTCTGTATGGTGGCTGTCTGTGCACTGTATTGTTGGTGATATGTGTGCCCAATACATTTCAACGAGCTGGTCACCAAAATGTGTGTTGTATTTCCTTCGTTGAACAAGGGATTGGTTGACCTGACCGTGACCTGACCTGAACTGACCTGATTTTGTCCCGAGTCGTCAAATGCCCATCACCATTGACTTTGAATTGGAAAATAACCCATAAAACATGTGTCGCATGCACATAATCCCTTTTTATTCATCATGACCTTTCGTGACCTGACCTTGACCTGACCCGTGACCTTTAAGAACAAAATTCGGACAATGTCTAGATCCATCTTGTTGAGATCTTTCCATTGCCGCCTCGTCCGGCGCGCTACGATCATCCGTTCTCGAGATAGCACCGTCGGCACCATATCAAAGCAAAATGGTATATTTACATGGAGAAAGTAAAAAAATAAAATAAAATATTCATAAAAAATACCTATCTCCAATTTTCACAATATAATTTCCCAATACCCTAAGCATTAATAAAAGCTAAAAAAATAAATTTTATTTAACTGGCCACACTTTGAAAAATGTGAAAGAAATTTTTGAACAATTTTTTGAAAATTCAAAATTCAAAATTTTGAAAAAATTTGCATACCATCTGAAAGCTTGTGATGTGGCGAGTTCAAATATGTATAATTTTTATAGTTTAAAAAAGTTTTCGATTAGATATACCTACTAAAATACAATGATGTTTTTTAACTTTCCAAAATTTCCCAATGTTATAACTCAAAAACCGTTGCTTCTACAGGTCTAAAAATCTCAGATTCGGCTTCTGGGCACAGAATAACCCTATACAGCAATTTTGAAGAAAATCTGAGGGGGTCGGGTGTTAATTTGCACCCATGAGCTGTTGAATCGTCCTGGAATGCCCCAGATGACGTCACAGGGGTCGAAAAAGTCAAAATGGCGGCGCTAGATATGGAGAGAGTTTTTCTCGAATAACTTTCGAATTAGTCAAGATAGGAACAAACTAAGGGCATCATCGTGATCCTCTCGTCAATCCGCATCGAATGATATATAGGGGAGAGTGGGGTGGGTTGTATCAGTTTTTACTCCGAGACCCATAACCTCGTAACTATCCGTGATAAGCTCATTATTTCCATACTATCTCCTTCCTTGATTCTTCTGCTTTTTTGTGCAAAGTAACTTTTCCGCTACCTCTACCAGTTTTTCTTCTACGGTCTGCCGAATAGAACAATGTTTTTGATACAACTTGCCCCATGGCTTGGGTGAGTTGTATCACATGGTGGGGTAATTTGTATCACTAAGGTATTTCACGTTTCAGGGAGTGTGCTTGCTACTGGTTTTAAACATAACAACAACATTAAATGGGGTTAATACAATGTATATGCTCAAAGGCTTCACTTTTATTAGACCAAACTTAGGTCAATGCAATCCGAACGAAACATCGAAACGAACGAAACATCAACAGACTAGATGCAAAAGTGGCCCGTTAAGAGCAAAGAAGCCAACACATTGTGCCGAAATGGAACGAGTATTGACTAGCTACCTACAAACGCGAGACAGGGCTTAGCTTTCGCGATCAAAAGCAACATACCCATACATACATACATGTTACAACATACCCCACCCGGCTCTGATACAACATGTACCTCGCCGCCATCTTGGAAAAAACATCCTCGTGCTCAAAAACAGCGGACAGCTGGAGAAATCCATTTTCACTAACGCAGCCTTAGAACCTACCCTCACCACCGCTACGGAGATCTTTCAAATTCGTGCACATCTAAATGCCCAAAACACACATTTTCTTGCAACTCATTTTTTTTAGAATGACATTAAAAAAACATAAAATCGGCTCTCACCTCGAGACGCGTCCACCCAGCCACACGACAGAACAGGGAAAGATGGCGCCCCGAAAACCTCGTCGGCTGGTCGTGTCACGAGCGCTATCTATTGGATAAGTTTGGCACAATTCGCCCTGATACAACTTGGACATGATACAACTCTCCCCGCTCTCCCCTATGTTGACCTCGAAAGGTCAAGGTCAAAGGTTGACCTCAGGTCACGTGACCTCGAGGTCATCATGTATATCATTCGATGTGTCTTGACGAGCTGAACACAATGAGACCATCGACGCGTCTGTATCTTGTTCCTGTACGGAGTTATTGGCCAAAAACCTTTGGTGACCTTTGATGACGTCACATGACCTCACAGCTGCCCAACAGCAAAACAGACCTCAAGGTAGTGAAGGTTGATCGTATATGAAGTCATGTATGGTATATGGGGCCATTCCGACCCGTTTTAGTGGTAAAAACAGGGAGTTGATTTTTCCCCCATTGACTTATAATGGGGAGGTCGCGAAATTGACCTGACCTTAGGTCACCGATATCAAAATTCCGAGATATACAAATTGTAGCTACTAATGACCTAATAACATCCTGCGACTTTCAAAGGCCTCCGACATCTACTGTAGCTCTGGCACGGTGACAAAGTTGCAAAAAAGTGACTTGAGGTTGGGTCATTCAAAGTGACCTGGTGACCTGACCTTGAAAGGTAGGAGGTTCAAACTTGCACACCATGTGTAAAATTGATAAGGGAATAGTCATACCAAATTTCGTGGCGCTACGCGCCGCGGTTTTCCCGCTATTCGCGAAAAACCTCAGGGGGGGCGGATATCCGCCCCCCCCGTCGGTGCGCGGGTTAACGAAAGGGGTTTTCGCGCTAACTTTAGCCGCAAGCCTTGTTCGAACTAGATTTCATCAATATCATATTACCCTTGTCGAGACGGTCAGATGATCTTATGTTTTCTTCAATATATCGCTATTAGGTCAAGTCCATTACCTAGCCTGGAAAGTTCATGTTGCAGTCAGTCGATCTGCATTGGTGAGATGAACACACCCGAGGTGTTGTCATGGCCCTAGCACCTATTACTACAAAAAGTAACCATAAAAAGCTCCTTGCTACTTTTCCATGACCTAAGATGACCTCGGTGGTATGATGTGGACTTAGAGATGCAATTAGATGATTTATAAATCAATTGAAGCATGTTAGACGATATCAGTGAGTTTAGTGTGACTTTTTGCGAAGGAACCGCAATTTCGTTTTCTTTCGTTGAACTTTAATACCGTCAATCATCTATTTCTTTGGCCTTTGCTATGATATTAAACCACTTCATGACCACTATTACATTTACCGATACGCCTTTCGTTACCATTACTCTCGGCACGACCGAGTTTTGGGTGCAAAATAGATTATCGTGTCGACACGCTCTAAAGCCCTAATGAACAGACAACGGCACGACTGAGCTTGCTCGACGCTCATATAAGCGGCCCCTCGGACCCTGCCCTGCCCTGGGAAGGCGGCCTGTTCGGGACCACACTGCGGACTTCCCTGGCCTCTGTCAGTCCCGCCGGAGGGGCCATATGTGGACGGTCATGCAGGCCTTTGGTGCAGCGCCGACCGCCAGTCTGTGACGTCACCTATTGCTGGCCGGCCGGCGGTCCTTGGAGAGCAGTGAAGGTGACCTCAGCGTGACAGGGAGCAGCGGCCCAGTGAGTGATGGTGGTGCAGGCTGGGTCTGAGGGCACATGAACCGGCAAGTCCGACAGAGACAGGATGGTGCGCGCAGCGCGCCTCAGGATGTCGTGAAGGTGGACTATTTTGGAGAGCGATTGCATCCAATTAGTGTCATCCAAATGGCCGGCTTCAACCAGTACCTGTCCTGTCATCATCATCATGCAGCGGTTTATTGTAGTGTGCCCCTCCCCATACGCTCGTCCTTCTTAACGTCTCTATCCTATTCTCATAAGAATGAACCATTTAAATCCTGCTGACTCCTTCATTTCCGCTACCGACTTCGTCAATCGTCATCAACCCCACTGACCCCCCCCCCCCCAGATCAGCCCCACCCTTTCAGCCCATATCGGCGTCCCGGCACGCCCCGTCAGCCGGAGTGGGCCGTGCTGACGCGGGTCCTTGCACGCTCAGCGACGCCTCAAAGCGGCCGACTGCCGCAACTCGAAACACGACCCGACCCGAATACACTGTTTGGAAACGGTCGTGTGGAGCCGTGCGCACCTCGCCCCCCCCCCCCCGCTATACAGCATGCAGGAAGTAGTTGGTGCGATCATTGACGAACATTGGGCGGGTTTGTCTGCTCGGCAGATGATTCGACGTAGTCAGGACTTCCCCGTCACGTATTTCGGGAATGACGACGACATGAAGTCATTTTCAACCAATGACTATTTACCATAAGCAATTCTAAGAGGTCGGTTATTTGACAGACTGAAAGCGCCTGGCGGCCTCAAGCCAGATCTAGTTGCAATGAAGCGTCCCTCGTTCCAAGAAAACGCTGCACTCCAGGTCACGGCGTCGCTGTTTGGCTGCACACTCACTGCCGAGCTGGTATGCGATGTTCCCATCAGAGCTAAAAGGCGCCTGCAGAATCATAGAATGTTAAGGCGATCTTCTAGTCTCATCATGACCGACGACGCATTGCTCAGCCTCAGATATGAGGCGCTCTATGTATGTTCCAGTGCAAGTAACTGCTTTTGGTTTCCTCTGCAAACAATAACGCTGAGTTCGCTGACCTACATACGACCTCATTTCTTCTGGTTAGCAGCAGCGGTGATGTCACCTGCAAGGCATTTTGCTGTGATCAACAATAACGGCGACCCCACGTGTACCTATGTTCTGGCTGGTCTGGCCGTGCGACACAGTCTCTGCGTAATGTGCTTTTGATCCTGCCCGCTTCTGACGGAGAAACCCAATTACGTACCGAAACCCCTGTCGCTGACCGCTGACGCCCATTCGCCGACCCCAGAGCCCCTGTTGCTGACCTCAGACCTCTCCTCGACTTCAGCCCCTGCCCCGAACTCAGCCCCTGTCACTGATCTCATGGCTGTTGAACTCAGGGCGACCGGCGACCTCTAACCTCTCCGCCGACTTTAGAGCCGCTGATCCCACATCAGCTGTCACTGACCTGACATCAGCTGCCACTGACCTCAAGGTCGCAGACCTGAGAACCCAGCTGCTCAGGGCTCCTGTCCCCCATCGTTAAGCTAAGGTCCCTGCCTCTGACCGCTGAGGCCATCTCTCTGATTTCTCTGCCGCTGACTTCAGGCCCCTACCGCCGACCTCAGGTCCAGCTGCTGAGCGGCCGACCCCAGTAACTCGCCATGCTGAGCGGGGTCAGCGGCCGGGTGTCGGCTGTGCTGCGGGCGGCCACGGCGGCCGTCACCCCGGTCCGGAACCGCTGGCACGCCGACAAGGTGGCGCGAGGCCCGGTGGCGGTGCGCTACGGCTGGCACAAGGAGCACATCATGCCATCTGGTGGGTGACATTGACAACTGAAGCTTCGGTAGTTTAGCAGACGTCTGTTGAAATAATAACAGTAGAATTCTACACAGGCCGGAGACATAAGAAAGACTTAACTACGTGCTGAGAGATATGGTCATTAAATCTTTTTTGCTGGTTGACGTTTTACACGTTTTGTTTCTGATAGCTGGATGAAATTTGACATGGATGTTTCTGCACCAAACATGCATTCACCAATGTCGCCCCGATTTTCAGGCTTGTTGCCACGGAAGGAGGGTGCTAAGGCCCTGCCAATGCCGGAATACAAACCCAACAACGCCTGGACAAAGAAGAAGGCCATGTTCGGTCAGAACGACTACATTGGTGAGTATCGACCGATTTTTAGCGTAATATTCGTCTTTTAGAAGGTACAGTCCACAGCAGAAGTAATGTGGGGTTTCAGTCATGGGTATGTTCTGCTTCTGAAGCTTAGGAACGATTAGCCAGACTACAATGAAACTTTGAATGTAGCTTATATGTATCGTCACCCTTGCAGCTCCAACTTTAGCTATTGACATCTTCTTTTCGATCACTCCGCATTAAACAATCGCCAGTCAAAGCCAACCGTTGAGATTGGTAAAACCCTACATTACTTAAGCGGTGGGCTGTGCTAGGACTACGAGGAGCATCAAGACATTCACATAGACTCGTTTGTTCAGGGTTCCAATTGCTGTTGCCGTAGCTCTATGCAAATAATGTGCTCAGAAGTTCGTTGGATTTCACGTCGCTTCAAATAAACCTAGTTGGTAAATTTTCCGCGATTTCTCTACATTTCCGGTATCTAAGCTCTCCGCCTGTCTCCCTGCAGATATTCTGGGTAACGGCTCACTACACCCGGTACAACTGATGTACAAGGTACCGCCGTGGCTGCGCGGCTTCCGCGGAAACGAGTACCAGATGTTGCTGCGTAAACGGCGCGCCCTGGGACCCCTCCTGGACGACCACTACCCGACCAAGAGCTTCAACCTGCAGAAACGCATCAGGTACCTGTACCGCTTCCTCAACCACGGGCGAACCAAGGATTACTTCTGGAGGAAGCACTAGCGCGGTAATAGGTCATTTGGTCTGAGTGTGTTTTCTCAGGTCAGTACGAACTTGGACCGCTGAGGGCGAGTGGTGAATTGAGTGATTGTGACTGAGTTCTTTTTTTTTGTATCTGTTTTCAGTGAATGGTTAATTGTGCATAGGTTGCCAATAATGTTATGTGGAAAGGAATTTACGCAATATTTGAGTACATTTTAAAGGATGTTTCGCATCACACATTTGTCCGACCAGTCTCTAATTTAGTTCGTGCCTATGTTCGAAGTAATTCGAACTTGCATTGGGAATTCTTTCCCCGGCAATACACATTACACAGCGTTTGTGGACGGCATGATGCGTGTTTATTCAAACACATTATGATGCAGCGCAGCAGTATGAAGCCATATAACTAATCAGGCACATTGTGAGCATTATCGTTCCCAGCGACTCGGGCCTTCGGTCGAGTCCGCTAATTATGAGCAAGAGCGCGGCGCGGCCGACCCCGTCAGCCCCCGGCGCAGTCCGCGAGCGGAGTCGCAACCGGACCACACGGCGCCAGTGAGACCCAGTTCCACCGCTCCACGGGTGACCGCGGTCAGAGTCTAATAAATACCGCTCTCCCATCGTGGCAGCGACTTACATATATCACAGCGCCAGCGTCCCTCCTACCGCGCCAGGCACCACCGCACCACCCCCGCCAGCACCAGCACCAGCGCGGCCGGGCCGCTGGTGACGGCGGCACCACTGGCCGCCGGGTCCAGCACCATCTCTGCGAACACCACGGGCCAGAGGGCCGGCTCGGAGGCTACTGCCGGGCTCCCCGAGCTCAGCCACACGCGCAGTTTGTCGGCCTCCAGGCGGCAGACGGCGGCGGCGGCGGGGCGCTCCCCGATCACCATCACTGTCAGCTGACGCGCCGCCTCCAGTCGGCCGGTCAGCGCGCACTCGGCCGTCCCCACCAGTCGGCGCAGAGCAGACAGCACCGAGCGCGCCGGCACCGGCGAGCCCAGCGCCGCCAGCCGCCGACGGGTGAAGTAGAGTCTCAGCGCGCTGCCGCACGGGGGCAGCACTGTGCCGTTGTCGCCGGCCGTCCCACACGGCGGGAGGGGCGCGTCGCACTCCTCCGCGGACACGGGACACGCCTGGCGGGCGGAGCGGCGGTCAGAGGGCGTCGGTAGGCGCGGGGACGGCTACAGAGGCGTCAGCGACATCGGGAATAAATAAACAACGGGCCAGGAGCAATAAATCCAACGAAAACCGTGGAACAGATCGACCACACGCCGCGTGCCAGAAGTGGCTTACTTTACACGCACAATCACTTCGAGAAACAAAGGAAGCTAAAGGTCAAGAGCTGCGCTACTATCTTCGTGATAAATGGCTCTAGTTCTAGCGTTTTCGCCCTTTCCAACAAACACTGAAAACATAATACACGTCCCAGTGTCTAGTCAGGTTACGACCGCCAGAGACGTTACGCACCACATAGGGCTGGTGCCAGTCGCTCTCCTCTGCCGCCAGTACGGACGACTGGGAGCGCTGGCAGGTGGCTGCCGCCTCCGTTACGGCCTCCGGCGCCTCCGGAACTGAAAACCAAACCATGGGGATGAGAACAGACCAAAAGGAGTACCGAGACCAAATATCAGTCACACATGTTGAAAACTCTGCAACAGACTCGGCGGTTTATCATACACTTAGAGTCAAAATGCCAACGAACTCAGGTGAGCACGCTCTCAGCCTTCTTACCGCAGGTGTGCAGTTCGCAGGGCTGCAGGCTGTCCACACAAATGTCGGGCTGGGGTAGGCAGCGGTGGCCGGTCGGGCAGGGGCGCACCTCGCACGGGTCAAAATTCAACTGCGAGGGCACGCACCTGGGGATACGGGAGAGGGCAAGTCAGACATCGGGCAGCGGGGGGGGGGGGGACGGTGACTCCTAAATATATTGCAAGGGAGTGAGACTATTAGCGTAAAAAAAAAACAAATACTACAATTAGACATACGGTAGCTGGATTTACCGGCATGAACCTTTATTGCTCAATATCGAACGTTACTAAAAACGCTAATTTGTTATTTTGGTGAAGCGAGTAACATGCCACCAAACTGAACAAATGCCGTATTACAAATGATCCTGTTCATAAACTTATAAGTAGCCCGTTCACCCCGTAGATTGCTAACCTCTGGAATGCTGACCTCTGAGTGTGAATATGGACGCAGGTGGGCTGAAGGGCGCCCACACTAGCCGCCGACTTCAGCGGTCTGCTCGACTTGAGACACTCGGGAGCGGTCCGACACAGGAGGTCCCCGTCCACACAGACACAGGAGAGGCAGCGCTGGTGGACCACCGTCCCAGAGTCTGTGGACACAACACACACAGATATACACACACAGACAGACGCAGGAGAGGCAGCGCTGGTGGACCACCGTCCCAGAGTCTGTGGAGTGTGGACACAACACACAGACATAAACACACCACCTTCCACCGTCCACACAGACGCAGGAGAGGCAGCGCTGGTGGACCACCGTCCCAGAGTCTGTGGACGTGAAAGTTTCCACTCAAATGACGTAAAAGAATGCATGACAACAGGTCTGAGGTTGGATAGTCGCGGTCTCCAGAAAAGTAATTGACACCTGTGACCTGACTGATTTGGGTTAAATCTACGTCATTAGTTCACTCGCTTTTCGCGGAAAAAGTAAAAAAGGTAAAGCACAGCGGCTCCACAATTCCAGCAGAGGCAGAGCGCCGTCCATCTACGTTCTAGTAACCTGGGATTCACGGCTCACCGATTTTCGTATCGAAGGCGTCGCAGGGGATGCTGCTGGGTACGGTGACGGAGGTGCATCGGGTCAGCTGCGGCGGCCCGCCGCCCGGGTCCGGCGAGCAGAGCAGCAGCGAGAGGTGGCCGCCGTCACCGCCGACCGGCGGCAGGAGCACCGAGGAGCCCAGAGCCACCATACTGCTGCTGACTGTGCTGAGACGGCAGCCTGGCGGTCAGGGGAGGGGAGATGAGTGAGTTATTCTGAATATGGTTATTGCTTATGTTGCGGGAGCTGGTCACACTCAGACTCGATGCTTTATATTATTATCGGCAGCGGCAATAGCAAGAAGCACAGAGCCAACCGCTCGTCACCACCGTCCGTCTGCCTCTCCCGGGCCGCCACCCGTCCAGCCAGGGCCAGCCGCTGACCCCGCCCCAGGGCCACGCGGCAGGGGCGGCGCCGGGCGCGGCCAGTCGGGGAGGCGCCATGCGCGCCACAACGGACGGTCACAGCCGCCCGCAACACTAAAATATACGACAAACATAACCATACGATAACAACTTGAACATTCAACTTTAGTGGCATAAACTGCACACCCGATGATTTACCACTGTTCAATACATAGCTGTACGAGTGACGACTTGGTGTTCTTTTGGCACCAAAAGGGAACGTCTTCATCCGTGAAATTAATTTATTCAAAGGGCATTGCAAACTCCCTTCCTATTTTGATCGCCACACAAATAGCAATGCATGAGCCAGAGCTAGCGTTAAGACTTACCTGGCAGACAGTGTCGAGTGGACAGGTTGGGCGCGGCCACCCTGCACACCATCCCCGCCTCACAGGGTGAGGGATGACACGGACTGGTCACCTGGAAAACAGCAAACATCGCCTTCCATCAGACATGGTTGTGGCTGCAGGAGAACGGGGTTTCACGGATCGAGCAAACAGGTTCCTAATAAGATCCAAAGACGCATCAGAGAGAAATAAGCACGGTAGCACATAAAGTAGGCATCTCTTGTTTACTAGCATTACCTCTGAGCCTCGCATATTCTTCGTGTGGCTCCAAACACTCCTATAACTGCTGCATACCCTCCTGAGTCACTACCCGGCCCCTCCGCTGCGTCCCGTCCCCTCACCTGGCTCCTCCACTGTGTCTCGTCCCCCTGGAACAGCTCTGGCTCCAGCGTGTTCTCCGAGACCGACAGCGGCGAGGTGTCCAGTGTCATGGCTCGCACACAGTCTGGCTCCGGCGCGGCCATCAGCTCGCAGAGTGTGGCCGGGTCGGCCTCGTCCCCGGCCGGGCTCAGACACGTCTCCAGCAGCCGCACGCAGTCCGATCTGACCGGGTGAGAGGGTGAGACGGGGTTAGAACTGAAGGGTTAGATACGGTCACACATACTGCTCAGTGCTAAATCATAAACCTCAAATGAGATGGGATCAGCAAGAAACATAAGTTTATAACACCACTGACGATCGCAACCTATTCCAGGTTCTCTGTCCACCTCCACTGTACGGTGCGCTATGCCCAGGGCATTTCCTTACCTGCACAGCTGAGCAGGCAGGCGGTCGGAACGGGGTGTTATTAGTGGGAGAGGAGGTATTATTACCTGCAGAGCTGAGCTGGCTCGTGGTCGGAGCGGCGGCAGGGCCGGAGGTGGAGCAGACACGCCAGCCGCTTCAGCTCCGTCTTACACCGTCCCGTGGTGATGATGGAGAGGTTGCGGAACGACAGGCCTGAGGGCGGAGGGACGTGGTGAGGTCAGCGAGGGCCGCAGGGTTGAAGTGATGATGTATGTAGATCCTGTGGAACGACAGACTTTATATGGTGGTAACTGGTAAGACATGCTTACTGAACGACAACTCTATGCTACATAAGTCCTAGACAATCGATACTTTATTTGCAGTTTGACGAATTACACGTACATAACCAAGCTTGATGCAACAATTCAACAGCTTTCGGTCCAAAAATATCTCTGAATACACTCAGTCAAATATGAACGCTCATTATAACCCTCCTCCCGTTTCCCTACCCCGTACTCCGGTCCCATTACCACAGTGTGGCTCATACCCAGCGCTCCTGTCCGCATCCACCCGAGGAACTCGCTCTTGGCGTTATCGTCGGCGCCCTTATCCCAGCGCCGGTACAGGCCGCTGCCCTCGTCCGTGACGCCCTTACAGAAGTGCAGCCGACCCGAGCTGGGCAGGCACGGCGCCTCCGCTGCCGGCCGGAGATGGAGAGGTCAGGTCAGGCGAATGGGGTGTGGTGGATAAC